CACCGACTCATGTCCGCCCCATGCACAACAGAATGAAAGGTTTCCCATTCCTGCGCCATCCCCGTGATCAGTGATCGGACCATTGTGATCCATAGGGTTTTCATTGGCCTTTCTTCCTAGTCCTTCTTAGCCTGGAAGCTTCACTGAAACCTGTTCAGCATGACAGCACCGTGCAAGCCTCTACTGACTTTGGGTAGTGGCTGCACATGAGGTGCATTGGCCAGGAATAGAACCCAGGCTCCCTGCATGGAAGGTGAGAATTCTACCATTGAACCACCATTGCCTCTAAGGCAGCTTAGTGTAGAGAAAAGAGCAGCTTTCCCACATGTTGGACTAGATCAAGTTTTCCCAAGCTAGCCATTCTTCTGCCATCTTTACCAACTATACTATTACTCAGTGATTTTTATTAGATACAGCTTTGTTTTTAAAAAAGAAATTTTATGTAGCTAATGAGTTGGAATCAACTTGACGGCAACAGGTTTGGTTTTGGTTTTTTAGGTAAAACATGTACCACTTTCCACGAATGGGAAGTAACCTAAAAAAGAAAAGCAATGAAAGCAAAACAATGTTATTCACAGCTAACTAGCTATTGATCTTTTCTGGAGACACTGAGGCCGAAGCCTGTGCTCTTTCTTAAAAAAGGAGGAGGCAATTACGAGAGGTGCTGTAGATAGATAAGCGTCAAACTTACTCCTAGACTTTCTCCTAGAAGCAGTTAAAACTCCCTCCATATTGATTCAATGTTATTTAAAGCTCTACTTCGGTTTGACCTAAAATAACTCATTTACAGCCTAAAATCACTTGGACTCTCCCTTTAGGAAAGACTCGACTAGATGATTTTGAAGGTTACTTCCAGCCTGCAAAGTCTGTATTTCTATGTGACACAGAAGTATTTGGACAGAGCTGGTTCTATTAGAATTTTTCTTGGTTTATCACACTTTTAAAAATAAAAATTTATGCCCTCCAGACTTGCTGGATCCTAATAGTTGAAAAATTGAAACTGTCCCAAACACTTAAATAACTAACTAACAGACCTCAGGTTTATGGGTCCCTGTGACCCACAATGTGTTCTACGCCTAAAGTAACAACTCCTTAGGTCGTCTTCGGGATTGCTGATAGGAGACCTCAAGATCACCAACCGCCAGCATTTATGACTATATGTTATGTGGACATCCGTTATATTTACAAATGTTAAACCTTAATTAAGTCTTTAACGTCCTTGTTCCTGCTCTAGAAACCCTTGACTCTTCTGTCTCTGGAGCCCCTTCCCACTTTCCATGTGGATGCTGCCCGGTTCATGAATCATTGTGTGCGCGAATAAAATCACCAAAATTTTATCATAGACTGAATTTTTCTTTTAACACACTAGGCTCTCAGAGTCTCAGGTTTTTAAAGGCATAGATTTTTCCAGTCCTAGCCTCGAGCCAGCGAAAAAGAGAAAGACCCTTAACAAGATGGATAGACATAGCGGCTGCAACAGTGGCCTTAAGCATAACAATTGTGAAGATGGCGCAGGACTGGGCAGTGTCTCGTTCTGTTGTACACAGGGTAGGTATGAGTTGGAATGACTTGACGGCACCCATCATCAACAACAGCCTTCAGCCAATGCTTCAGTCCCTGCTTCACTATCCCTCCAAGTGTTCACCCAACTTCAGTTCCACCCAAAGAGTTTGCTCTCTCTCTCCAGGGCAGTCATTCCAGATTTTCGAAGTTCTTCCTTACGTGGCGCTCAGACCAGACGCAACCAAAGCTTTTGATAAGATGGGCTCCAAACTCATCACGGCTGTCATGTGCAGCTTCTGGTCTGCAGATGTCGGCAGAGTTTGGATTTGAATACAAGTGTGTCTGAACCCAAAGTTGGTCGCTTCATCATTAAGCTCTCTAGCTACAATAGAGATCGGAAGCCCTGGATTCTGGGCTCTGCCCTGCCGTATTAAGCAAGCCAATACCTTTCTACCAGACTCAATTTCTTCACCTAAAATAAACAGGTGGGCCTAGACATCTTGCTGTAATATTCTCTAGCATAATAATAATAATAATAAAATAGGCAGTATTTGTTGAGTATTAATTCCATGCCAGTCAATTCCCACTCACAGCACCCCTATAGGACAGAGTAGAACTGCCCCATAGGGTTTCCAAGGAGCAGCTGGTAGATTTGAACTACCAACCTTTTGGTTAGCAGCCAAGCTCTTAACCACTATGCCACCAGGGCTCGTTGTCAAATATAGTTACTATCACCCCCACTTTGTAGGTGAGACAAAGAAATTAACTAACTTGCCCAAGGTCGCATAGCTAGTATCCTCGATCCTCACAATTGCAGATTCCGTGTTTTCGAATACACTTACTCATTAAAATTAACCGTCAGCCCTAAAATCAATACTCGAGACACTTTCCTTGTCATTCACAGAAATGCAGAAAGGGCAAGTAGGAATTCAAAGTAAAAAAGAAAAAACAGAGAGAGGCTTAATTCTCCCTGTTGAAAAAAGGGGAAGAAGCTTCGCCCCCCCTTCCCTTTTCTTAGCGCATTTACTTTAGAAAGCTTGTAAGTTCTTTCTCTGCTTCTTGGAAATATATGTAAATCTTTTAAAAGGCTAAATAAGCCTCTTGCCAATTTTACAACCCAGGAATATTTCCTCAAGGACTTGGAAGCCATCTTTTTAAATGTAATCAATCAAGGAAGAGCCCGTCCCTGTGTTCCAGCTTCCTTGGAGCAAAGGAGCCTGATCTCAGCTGGCGCCTGGCTCCAAGTTGCAAACCTACCTCCGGTAATAAAGATAGAAGGAATTAACTTCTTTCTTTGGATAAAGGCAATCAGCAAACACAGATGGTTCTCCCAATTACTGGGTAAGTTTAGGATGAACTATATTTGACAACGAGCCCTGGTGGCATAGTGGTTAAGAGCTTGGCTGCTAACCAAAAGGTTGGTAGTTGAAATCTACCAGCTGCTCCTTGGAAACCCCATGAGACAGTTCTACTCTGTCCTATAGGGGTGCTATGAGTGGGAATTGACTTGATGGGACAACATTTTTTTTTGTGTGTGTGTAAGTATATGACAAATGGTGCCATTAAGTCCTCTTACTTGAGAAGTAGTTATCATGTATCTTGATAACCTGTAGGAATGGGTTGCATCTGCTTGGCTATATAAAAGGAGAAAAGTCTTTTCTTTCTTTGCACTCAAGCTAGCAGTTTGCTTGTGATGTGCATCACATCCTGTTTACTGCTTAATCAGTGATAGAACTGTTTTCTTTCTCCTCTACTTTTGTGGAGAGTTTGGGTTGGCAGGAGATTTTGTATGTAATCATGCTTCCACCATAATGAGCAGAGTGGTGAAAAATCTGAGTCACCCAATGCGCATGTTCCCAGCTGAGGTCGAACGAGGCTACGCTCTGCCTTCTTGTTTCAGCTCTCAGACTATAAACAAATGTCCTTTTCACGGTCTATTTAGTGTCACATTTTTTGCATGTTTGTACTATTTGTTAGTGGTTTTGCTGTTTAAAATGCCCCCAAGCATAGTGCTGAAGTACTCTGTAGCAAGAAGACTGTGATGTCCCTTACACAGACAATACGTGGGTTAGATAAGCTTCATTCAGACATGAGTTATAGTGCTGTTGGCCATGGGTTCAATGTTAATGAACCAACAACATGTATTAAATAAGGTGTCTTGAAACAGAAACACCCGTAAAACAAGGCTATGTATTGACATCAGTTGCAGAAAATGTGAGCAGAGAGAGGCTGGCAGGAACCTAACCCGATATCTCCCCTAGAGCAATGAATGATTCAATGCCCACTATTTCAGTGTTGGTAGCAACTTTATAGAGAATACCTTCTGCAAATAACAAGAATCAACTGAGATCCATACCCATGAGTTTCAACGCTAGCACCTTCTAATTTCTCTACCAAGTGAGATTTTTTTTAAAAATTGGGATTTCTGAAAACCAGGCATACCTATAGAGGGATAGGTCTGCCCCAAAGGTAAAGTGCCAGCTTTCCTCCTGACACCTCAGGGAATGGATGGTCAGGGAGAGACACCTCTCCCTGGCAGACAGATATAGATACCCCTGGTCACTTCTTTTCCAGGTTCTCTCCATGTCCCATTTGGTCCTCTATGGACAGCCCGACTTGAGGGTCTCAGATTTCCTTCCCAGGTATCCTGCCTCCTGCTTTCCGAAAAAGCCTTCCCTGACACTGTGTTCAAAAATTCCCCTCGGTCGTTGAGGAGGACTAAGTGCGCTTTGTCTTTGGGAAACTGTGTGAGACAGTGGAAGGAGTTGCTACTACTAGTTGCCATTGAGTCAATTCTGACTCATGGTGACCCCATGGGTGTCAGAGTAGAACTGTGCTCCATAGAGTTTTCAATGGCTGTTTTTTCAGAAGTAGATCACTAGGGCTTTCTGCCAAAGTGCCTCTGGGTGGACTCGAACCTCCAACCTTTCAGTTAGCAGCTGAGCGTGTTAACAGTTTGCACCAACTAGGGACTCTGTGGAAGGAGTAGAGGGCTTTAAAGACCTAAGTTCAACTCCCAGCTCATCCATTACCTAGCTGCATGCTGAGGTAAAACAGTCGATCCCATTAATCCTCAGGCTGTTCTCTGTAAAATGGGAATGATAATACCTACCTCAGCAGGGCTGTGGGAGAGGCAGCTAACAGGGCTCAAGGCGCATGGTAAGTGTCCACAAATGTTTGCTGCCTGCCTCTTTCATGTCCTCTCAGTCTGTACGGAGCTTGAGGACGTGCACTTTTCGCTCCTCAGACATAGTTTGCCAAATCCACAGGGCTCTTTCATACTGGGACTCTGACTTGTAGCCCAGGGTTCTGGGAAGAGCCCATGTCACCTGAGTTGGGCACCTCCCAGGTCCCCAGAAGAAGACACTTCCAGACACAGGATAGCATGGAGGGGCCAGGTACAGCTTTCATTAAAGAGGCACTTCCGGAGAGGTCACATCTCTCACCAAACAGACTGGACAGACATCTAGTATAGATGTCACTTCTGGTTCACTTACCTCCAGAAGCTCAAATACGGCAAGGAGGTCCCCTCCGGGGAGGTTCCCACAAAAGATGGGGTGATAGCTCAACTGGGGCGGCTCATAGTCCTGGTCAGCCAGCTTCACAACAGGAGCAGCCACCGTGGCACCCAAGTATTCTGGCTTCCCCTAAGGCAGAAGAGAAATGAATTTTTGTCCCCTGATTGTTACCTTCCTGATTCTGACCCCTATGAGTGCAATTTTGCAAATAATCTTCTCGCATCAGAGCGCCCCTCTTGCCCACTGTCTCATTCTCTTCCTCTGCCAACCTCTTCTTGTCCCTTTGCACTGGCTTGAGGAGCAGTGGAATCCATTCAGTCTCCCAGGGAAAACTCTAAGAGGGTCATCCTAGGGGCTTCCTGGCCTAAGGTTATCTTAGAGGGTGTTATGGATTGAATTGTGTCCCCCTAAAATGTGTGCTGGAACCCTAACTTCTATGCCTGCAGGTGTAATCTATTTTAATGTAACGTAATCACCTTCCATAATACAATCTACTCTAATGTACTCAGTCAGTTGAGATTATACCAGCGTAGGTGGATCCTAAACCTAATCACTTCTGAGTTGTATAAAGAGCAGCATTGACACAGAGACACATGCAGACACAGGGGGAGGAAAGACACTATCTGATGACGAGAGAGAGAGATGAATCTACAAGCCCAGGAATTCCAAGGATTTCTGGTTACTAGAAGCTGAAATAGACAAGGAAGGACCTCTTCCTAAAGCTACACCCTGAATTCGGACCTCTAGCCTCCTGAACTGTGAGAAAATAAGTTTCTGTTCTTCAAAGCTACCCACTTGTGGTACTTGTGCTACAGCTTCACCAGGTAACTAAGACAGCGGTATCTCTTTTCCTACAGAACCAGCAGGCCCTAATGAGAGAACGTTCTAGACTGGAAGTATGGTCTGGCAGAGTTAGAGTCTAATAATCTGATCATCATCATAACAGTGTGGTTCCAGTGTAGCTGCAGCCAACAGGTGTGAACAGGATCTTTTGTGTGTCTACATGTATCTCTATGAGCAAAGAACAAATCTTCCGTATTTTCTTTCTCTCCTACATTTCCCTTTAAATTCAAGAAAGTACGCTTGATTTTTCTGTGAAGGGTTTAGCTTGGGGTGGGACTCGAGAAGGCCATTACTGAATGGAGATCTAGAAGGGGGTCTGGAAAGCAAAGAGGCAACAAAGGGAAATCCATCCAGAAGTCTGTTGGCTTAGCAGGTGCTTTCAAAGATGCTTGATTGCTGTTATTGGTTTTCAAATAAAAAATAAACACTTAGGATCAGAGGCATGTTGTTAGGAACAAATTTGGAATGGCACTTATTTTGTGGTCTTCTCTACAGAAAATCTATACTACATACAGAACAATAGAAATCAGATTCCATAAGTATATATTCCATAAGTATATCTAGCTCCAATTTACAGCCCAGAGAGGGGGAGTGACATGGAGAACCAGTGTCCTCCTTATAAGGGGACACAGCCATACCAGCCACATCCACACACACAGGAAACGGTGGGCACGGGAAACCTGGGTTTGAGTCCTAGCTCTGCCTCCAGCTAGCTGTGACTTTGAACAAGGCATTTGACCTCTCTGGGTCTCTGTTTCCTCTTCCAGGAAGCAAGAGGTGGGCTTTATGTCTCTATAGTCCCTACTCACCTATGATTCTTACATCCTAATTCCCTCCTGATCTTGGATGGAAGCGTGGGCTGCCAGAAAGCTTCTTGGGAAAACTGTTGTACTGAAAATATTTTGTGCTTCCGCACCTCTTGAGGAGGTAGAGATAGCAAATAAAAGAAACTGTTGCTGTTCCTTTGTCTTTTTTAATTAAAAAAAGAAGACTGTTTGTCTTTGTGATTATTAAAAAAAAAAAAAAAACAATCCTCTCGTAAGCTATTGAATCTACCCAAGATTTCAGAACACAGACATCTTGCAAAGGAAGTAGTTTGGTTTCCCTCATAACAGAGATGAATGTGTCCCTGCAGAGCTTGGAAGCAACAACCGAGAAAAAAACCTGGTTATAAAAGCCGAGTCACTGACAACACCCATCTGTATCTTTTCAGCCAGGCTAGATCAGTAAAAACCTCCTGTTTCCAAAAGGCATAGACCATTTTATTAAACAGCAATAGGGCATGGGACTAACTGGAGGCGGGTGGAGGAGGGTATAAGTACAGCTATAGGTTGCTTTATTAAAAAAAAAAAAAGTTGCCATCAAGTCAATTCAGACTCATGATGACGCCGGTATGTCAGAGTAGAACTATGCTCCACAGGGTTTTTAATGACTAATGTTTTGGAAGTAGATCATCAGGCCTTTCTTCCAAAGTGCCTCTGGGTCAATTCGAAATTCCAACCTTTCCATTAGCAAATGTCATGGATTGAATTGTGTCCTCCAAAAACATCTGTATCAATTTGGCTAGGCTATGATTCCCAGTATTGTGTGATTGTCCATCATTTTGTCATCTGATGTGATTTTCCTGTGTGTTGTAAATCCTGTCTCTAAGATGTTAACGAGATGGAATTAGTGGCAATTATGTTAATGAGGCAGGACTCAATCTACAAGGTTAGATTGTGTCTTAAGCCAATCTCTTTTGAGATATAAAAGAGAGAAGTGAGAGACATGGGGACCTCATACCACCGAGAAAGAAGCACCAGTAGCATAGCGTGTCCTTTGGACCCAGGGTCCCTGCGCTGAGAAGCTCCTAGACCAGGGGAAGATTAATGACAAGGACCTTCCTCCAGAGCCAACAGAGAAAGAAAGCCTTCCCCTGGAACTGGCACCCTGAATTTGGACTTCTAGCCTCCTAGACTGTGAGATAATAAATTTCTCTTTGTTAAAATCATACTTGTGGTATTTCTGTTATAGCAGCATTAGATGACTAACACAGCAGACGAGCACATTAACCATTTGCACCACCCAGGGACTCCAGGGTGCTTTATACAAGTATCATATTCCTGAAGAAGTATGTGCTGACTCAAGTTTTGTAAACCAGGTCCTATTTTAATTGCAATTTAAAGAAAAATCTAATCTCATCTTTAGTACAACAAATGACCTTACAAATCTTCCTGGTTCTGGACATCATCATTTCCTAGGCCAGGTTTGCCCCCAGGTACATCCAGCATTCTGACTAGTCATAGGCCAGTTAAATAAAGTAAGTCAGCTCATTGTGATGTTCTCAATATGGTACAGTGAGCACTGCCCCAGGACCCTCACCACTGCGTCACTGTCGTAGAGCTCCACCACCACTAAGGGTGGGGAGTCCACCAGCTCCTTCTGGTCTCCGTGCAGCACTATGTCATTGAACAGCAGCATCTGGTTCCAGGTTGGGGAGAGAGTCTCGGAAATCACCTGGAAGGTGGGACCGAGAGCAAAGCAAAAGATCATTCAGTTGGTTGTAGGTGGGTTCTGGGGTGTATTCAACATTTAATTATGGAGGGCAAAGAGAACACATCATCGTCATTAACCCTTATTCATTCAACGTTCAAGCAACAATATATACTGAGCCACTACTGTGTGTTAGATGCTAAGGGATACAAAGATTCCCCGCCCGCAGGGAACTTATATTCTTAATAAGTTTCATGAACAAGCCCCTACAATATTTAGCAGCCTACTTACATACATAATTTCGACTCCATAACTATTCAACCTCACAATAGTGCTGTGATGGTAATACTAACCCATTGCCGTCAAGTGGATTCCAACTCATAGTGACCCTATAGGACCCTATAGGAGTAGAACTGCCCCATAGGGTTTCCAAGGCTGTAATCTTTGCAGAAGCAGAAGCAGACTCCCACATCTTTCTCCCTTGGAGCGGCTGGTGGGTTCGAACTGCCAACCTTTCAGTTAGCAGCCAAGTGCTTAACCACTGCTCCACCAGGGCTACCTGGTGCCTTTGGAAAGAAGGGTATATCTGGGCTTGTTTCCTCTCCTCTGTTTAATTGGATGTTTGCAGCCATGCCAGTTTTACAGAGCCAAAGGCAGAGGTGGTTTGCAGGGTGGGAGGACTCTGCGGCTGAGCAGAAGCTGCACTATTAGCACGTGAGGCCAGTCCTGGAGAGAGGTGGGTCAGCCCTACAGGCCCCAATCACGTTTCTGTCTCTCCCTGGCTGTGCTGGCAAATGGAGCTTTCACAGGTCAACACACCACAGTGGCTTCTGGGTCCTTGGGAAACTTCCACAGCACCTCTGACCTGCACCCTGACCTCTTGCTGTTCCCTCCAGGAGGCATCAGAGAAAGCCCTGGGCTGGACTAATTCCCCAGACTCCAAAGCCCGAATAAAACTGCCATCATCTCAGAGGAGTTTTACATTGAATCATCTCTACTCCCGTCATTAGATCATTTGCTCTGCTGTAACAAAAGAATATTTTTATTGCTTTTGCTTTTGTGAGTCATAGAAATACTTTGTGCTTTCACACTGTCCTTTCCTTCCTGCTTTCAAAGTATCTTATGCCTGGGAAACAATGAAGTGTATTCATCATCCCTTATTCATTCAACTCTCTCAACCTAAAATTTCAGAGAGTCACTTTCCTGCCAGGGGTAGAATGACTCCAACAGACCTAAAAACAGAAGTTATGGAGTGCAATGCAAAGTCGCCCGTGTCAGTGACTGATGTCACAAAAAAACTGCATATTTTATGTTGTTTTTAAAAACAGAAATGTGATCACTTTAGCGGCATGCACCTGACAGGTGTGAAACCAAAGCAGTTTTATGATCTTCACAGCGTCTTTCCTGAGGAAATATTTTGATGGCTTCTTTGACACTTTTGACTGTAAGATACCACTCAATAAGCTTCCAGAGGCCAGCACCCACCCATCCATCCATCCATCCATCCATCCATCCATCCACCCATCCATCCATCCATCCATCCACCCATCCATCCATCCATTCACTCATTCATTAATTCAACACATATTTATTCAAGACCTACAAGGTGCTAAGCACAGTATTAGGCACTAACCCAGATTCCCAAATGTAGAAGGTACTCAACAAATATTAGCATGAATGAATGAGTAGGTGTTGATCTGTCCTCAGAGTTGGTAGTAGAAGGACCACCTTTGAGAAATGTTGAAGGCTCATCCAACCAAAAATACATTCTCCCACTTCTCTGCCAAGTGCCCATGGTTCACCTCATTTCTTAAGGGCTTCCTTAAGGAGTTATGCATGGTAGCTGTGTTAAATGACATTATTTGGGAGGTTATGAGAACACTTAGTTAACACTTTAACAGGGAGTGAGAGATCATGGACACAGCACGGCTTTAGAGGCAGATAACCACTGAAGTGAACCAGGGGCGGATTAACCAGTAAGCATGATATGCACCCGCTTGCACTGAGCAAGGTACGCATGGGCTTAATTGTGTTTACTTGCTAATCTGTGGTGAGTCATTTCACATGTGTTTCACCACATCTTTGACATGGTGGGGGACAGGTGAAACTGTGCACTGCAGGTTGGTGGGAAGGCACAATTGGGCCCGTGTGTCCCTTGCTTATTGGGTAATCCAGCCCTGATTGGCGCTAGGTCTCATCGCCCTCTGTATCTCCAATTTGGACAGGTGATTTAACCTCTCCCAACTTTAGTTTCCTTCACTTAAATGGGAATAGCACTTGCCTTGTAGAGTTGCTATGATGGTTAGCTTAGATAAAGTGTACTAAGTGCCCGGCACATAGTAGGTGCTCAATAAGTGCTTGTTGCCCCTCCCACTCCACCCACCTACACTCTCTTATAAATGAGTAAACATTTACTACACACTAGCCTAGTGCACTGGGGTAATCTTGTCTGACAAGACACCACCACCATCCTCAGAACTAAGTATCAATCTGATTGTTTGGCATCTCGGGTTCGCACTTCCCACCCTCTAAGATCCCTCTCCTTCTCCTCTAGTACTTCCTCTTAGCCCCTTTTTCCCTCTCCCCTTCTACCTCCAAAGCCTTTCTCTTTAGGAACTTTCTCCCTTTCCCTTCATCCTTCCGTTGCCACAAGATTTCTAAGTCCCATGCCCTCAGTGGCCTCTGGAATAACTGGATTCCCCTCTTTGAAATATCTTGAACCACTAAGTTGCTTTGTAAAGGACTAATTTGCAGGACTAGCCCTCTCAGACAGAGAATCCTCAGAGAACAGAGTAAATCCTGAGAGAACATGACCTAATGAAAAAAGCATCACACGGGACTTTTGCTGACTGGAGACCCTTTCACATTTCAGCACCAGGTACACAGGAAAGGAGGAAAGCATGGAGGAAACATACACTGTCTGACCTACCTCCTTTAATCCCCAACAAACATACAAAGTAGTGCATTCCAGAAGAGGGGAACATTGCAGTGCAGAGGCGGTAAAAGTGCTCAAAGACCCCAGCTGGTAAGTGCAAAGCTACCGTGCAAAGTCTAGGGCTTTCTGACTTTCCTCCCCACCAAGGGTCCTCAACAACGATCGGGCCATGAGCCTCATGAGTGTCCTCTGTGTATGTGTTCTTGTTGTTCACTCCCCACTGTACTTGGCGTTGGGCCTGGCACTTCAGCAGGGACTCAGCAGTGCCAGACCCCTTTGTTCTTCCTCATCTGTTTCCCTCCCAACCTTCCTTGGCCTTGGGCTCTTGCTCCCTTTGCCACTGGATAATGGATCGCAGGGGAACAATAAATCTTCCCACCTTAGTCATACCTTGCACATCTACAGGCCCCAGAGACAGGTACTGGCCTACGTGCCCCTCTATGTTTTCCCTGCCTCTGCGCACATCCATGCGTGCAGCGGGGAGGAAGGCCAACTCGGCTGCCCTGGTTACCTTTGTGGTCTGGCAGTGGGAAAGGAAGGTGACTTTGGCAAAGGGGTCGGAAAGTCCATTGCTGTCAGCTGCGATGAGGCCCCGGGCCTGATACATGTGAGCTCTCAGCTGAAAGAGATGCTGGCCTGTGGACAAATAATGAAAAGGAGCAGCGTTACTGGACTTTTCACGATGTGTAAAGGTGAGTCTGTGTGTGTCTGTGGGTGTGTCCAGACATAGATCAAGGAGACCAGAGCAGCTCCCTCCTCTAGAGGGAAATGGAAGTGGTGAAGTAAGGGGCCATGGCTGACAATTAAGGGGTCCCTCCTGTGAGCTAGGCATTCTCCTTGGGCTTTCACCACAGTGTGTGTTTTAATCCTCACAACAACCCTGTGAAGTAAATGTGATCATCCCCATTTTCAGATGAGGAAAATGGCAAACAAAAAGGTTTGCAGGATTGATAAATGCCAGAGCCTGGATTTGGACTCATTTCTGTCTGATTCCAGAATCTACTTCTCTTTCTAAAATACTCTGTTTTCCTCCCAATAATTCAGTGTCTCTCTCCTGTTTCCACTAGTGCAAGTGTGAGTGTGTGTGTGTGTGTGTGTGTGTGTGTTGTTGTTAGGTGCGTCAAGTTCTGACTTATAGCAACACCACGCACGACAGAGTGAAACACTGTCCGATCCTGTGCCGTCCGCAAAATCTTTGCTGTGTTTAAGTGCATTGTTGCAGCCCCTGTGTCAACCCCCCTTGTTGAGGGTCTTCTTCTTTTACACTGACTCGACTTTACCAAACATGATGTTCTTCTCTGGGGACTGGTCCCTCCTAATAATATGTCCGAAGTATGTGAGATGAATCCTCACTGTCCTCGCTTCTAAGGAGCATTCTGGCTGTGCTTATTCCAAGACAGATTTGTCCATTCTGCTGGCAGTCCATGCTGTATTCAATATTTTTGCCAAGACCATAATTCAAAGGTATCAATTCTTCTTCCATCTTTCTTATTCACTGTCAAGCTTTCACATGCATATAAGGTGATTGAAAATACCATGACTTGGGTCAGGTGCACCTTAGTCCTCAAAGTGACACCTTTGTTTTTTAACACTTTAAAGAGATCTTTTGCAGCAGATTTGCCCAATGCAGTATGTCATTTGATTTCTTGACTGCTGCTTCCATAGGCATTGACTGTGGATCCAAGTAAAATGAAATCCTTGACAATGTCAATCTTTTCTCCATTTATCATGATGTTGCTTATTGGTCCAGTTGTGAGGATTTTTGCTTTCTTTATGTTGAGGTGTAATCCATACTGAAGGCTGTAATCTTTGATCTTCATCAGTAAGTGCTTCAAGTCCTCTTCACTTTCAGCAAGCAAGGTTGTGTCATCTGCGTAACGCAAGTTGTTAATGAGTCTTCCACCAATTCTGATGCCCTGTTCTTCTTCATATAGTCCAGCTTCTCAGTTTATTTGCTCAGTATACAGATTGAATCAGTATGGTGAAAGGACACATCCCTGACTCACACCTTTCTTGATTTTAAATCCCACAGTATCCCCTTGTTCTGTTCGAACAACTGCCTCTTGGTCTATCTACAGGTTCCACATGAGCACAATGAAGTGTTCTGAAATTCCCATTCTTTGCAATGTTATCCATAATTTGTTTTGATCCACACAGTCAAATACTTTCACATAGTCAATAAAACATAAGAAAACATCTTTCTGGTATTCTGTGCTTTCAGCCAAGATCAGGCTGACATCAGCAATGATATTCTTCGTTCCACGTCCTCTTCTGAATCTGGCTTGAATTTCCGGCAGTTCCCTGTCAATGTACTGCTGCAACTGTTTTTTAATTATATTCAGCATAATTTTATTTGCATGTGATGTTAATGACATTGTTCAATAATTTCCGCATTCCATTGGATCACCTTTCTTTCAAACGGGCACAAATAGGGATCTCTTTCAGTCAGCTGGCCAGATAACTGTCTTCCAAATTTCTTGACAAAGACGAGCGAGCACTTCCAGCATTGCACCTGTTTGTTGAAACATTTCAATTGGTATTCTGTCAGTTCCTGGAGTCTTGTTTTTCACCAGTGCCTTCAGTGCAGCCTGGACTTCTTCCTTCAGTACCATCAGCTCTTGATTGTATGCTACCTCCTGAAATGGTTGGGCATCAACCAATTCTTTTTGGCACAGTGGCTCTATGCATTCCTTCCATCTTCTTTTGATGCTTTCTGCATCATTCAATTTTTTGCCCATAGAATCCTTCAATATTGCAACTCGAGACCTGAATTTTTTCTTCAGTTCTTTCAGCTTGAGACATGCTGAGCACATTCTTCCCTTTTGGTTTTCTACCTCCAGGTCTTTGCACATTTCATTATAAGACTTTACTTTGTCTTCTCGAGCTATTCTTTGAAATCTTCTGTTCAGCTCTTTTAGTTCATCATTTCTTTAGTTCACTTTAGCTAGTCTACATTCAAGAGTAACTTTCAGAGTCTCTTCAGATATCCATTTTTGTCTTTTCTTTCTTTCCTGTCTTTTTAACGACCTTTTGCTTTCTTCATGTATGATGTGCTTGTTGACGTCCCACAACTCATCTGGTGTTTGGTCATTAGTGTTCAATGAGTCAAATCTGCTCTTGCAACAGTCTCTAAATTCAGGTGGGATACACTCAAGGTTGTACTTTGGCTCTTGTGGATTTGTTTTAACTTTCTTCAGCTTCAACTTGAACTTGCATATGAGCGGTTGATAGTCTATTCCACAATTGGCCCTTGGTCATGTACTGACTAATGATATTGAGCTTCTCCATTGTCTCTTTCCTTAGATGTAGTCGTTTTGATTCCTGTGTATTCCACCTGGCAGGGTCAACGTGTATAGTTGCTGCTTACGTTGTTGGAAAAAGACATTTTCAGTGAATACGTCGTTGGTCTTGCAAAATTCTGTCATGCAATCTCGGATCTCTGGCGCTGTTTCTATCACCAAGGTCATATTTTCCAACTACCAATCCTTCTTTGTTTCCAACCTTAGCATTCCAATCAACAATAATTATCAATGGATCTTGATTGTGTGTTTAATCCATTTCAGACAGCAGAAGTTGGTAAAAATCTTCAATTTCTTCATCTTCGGCATTAGTGTTTGGTGCATAAATTTGAAAATAGTTGTATTAACTGGTCTTCTCTGTAGGTGTATGGATATCATCTTATCATAGACAGCGTTGTACTTCAGGATAGATCTTGAAATATTCTTTTGGATGATGAATGTGATGTTGTTCCTTTTCAATTTGTCATTCCTGGCATAGTAGACCATATGATTGTTTGATTCAAAATGGCCAATACCAGTCCATTTCGGCTCACTAATGCCTAGGATATTGATCTTTATGTGTTCCATTTCGTTTTTGACAGCTTCCAATTTTCCTGAATCATACTTAGTATTCCATGTTCCAATTATTAATGGATGTTTGCAGCTGTTTCTTCTCATTTTAAGTCATGCTACATCAGCAAATGAAGGTCCTGAAAGCTTGACTCCATCCACGTCATTAAGGTCAACTCTACTTTGAGGAGGCAGCTCTCCCCTAGCTGTATTTTGAGTGCCTTCCAACCTGAGGGACTAATCTTCCGGCACTATATCAGACAATGTTGCGCTGTTATCCATAAGGTTTTCACAAGCCAATTTTTTCAGTAGACGGTAGGCTCCTTCTTCTTAGTCTGTCTTAGCCTGGGAGCTCCACTGAAACCTGTCTACCATGGGTGACGCCGGTGGTATTTGAAATACCAGTTGCATCATAGCCACACACAAGCCCATCATAGTACAATAAACTGACAGAAGAGTGGTGGGTGTATGTGTGTAAAAGGGGCTATTTCACAAATGATTTTTACTTCAATAAAGCCAATGAGTATTTTGAGTCATCCATTCATCCATTCTTCTAGCCAATGTCATTTTAAGCCCCTACTGTGTACCATGTACAATTCTGTATTCTAAGGAATCAGAGGTAACTAAGACACAGATGCTGCCCTTGATGAGCTCCCAGGAGAGGACAAGATAAGACAAGCATCCAAATCACATTGACAGGAGGCCAGGGATTTAAGTGTCCTGCAAAAGATACAGGCAAAGGGCATGGGGGTGGTGGTGGTGGTGAGTGAGTTAAAAGCAGGAGAAAGCACACCTGTTTGACAGGAAGGGAGGCAGAAAGGGGGCTGCAGGTCAGATCAGAGCAGGGTTCATTGGAAAACCTCCAGTAAGAATTGAGTTAATCATATTTCTTGTTTCATGGTGCTTTATGATCATTGGCCCTTGCAGGACCCCTCTTGCTTTTATATATTTCTTTATTCTCTTTTACACCCTGTCATGGATTGAATTATGTCCCCCAAAAAATGTGTGTATCAACTTGGCTGGGTCATGATTCCCAGTATTATATGATTGTGTAATCTGATGTGATTTCCTTATGTGTTGTAAACTCTATCACTATGATGAGGTTATACTGATGACATCTACAAGATTGGATAGGTCTTAAGCCAATCTCTTTGAGATATAAAAGATAAGCGATCAGAGACACGTGGGAACCTCATACCACCAAGAAAACAGTGCCAGGAGCAGAGTGCGTCCTTTGGACCTGAGGTTCCTGCGCTGATATGTTCCCAGATCAAGGGAAAATTGATGACACAGACCTTCCTCCAGAGCCGACGGAGAAAACTTTCCCCTGGATCTGACACCCCGAATTTGGACTTGTAGCCTACTAACTGTGAGAGAATGAACTTCTCTTTGTTAAAGCCGTCCACTGGTGGTATTTGTGTTAAAGCCTTCCACTGGGGCTATTTGTGTTCAGCAGTACTACATGACTAAGATACACCCTTACCCATTCTTCGTCCCTTTACTCTCCCAGATGTGACCACTGTGAAGTGTTCAGTGTGTATTTGTGTTGACATGGGTCTGGTATACCGGAACTCTCACACACCGATTTGACTAAGTCTATTTAGTCAAATTAAGTGTACACATATCCTGTGGCCTCTCAATGCCACTCCTAAGCTTATATCTCACAAATCTGTACAGCGTTATTAAACCTCTCTGTGCCTTTGTTTCCTCATCTTTAAAATAAAGGTAATAATAGTTCCTATCTCATAGGGTTATATTGAGGATTGAAGGGCTGAGAACAGTGCCAGGCACGTGGAAAGACCTTGGGAAGTGGTTGTGAAGATGCTAGTACTACTGTAAGTGTGGCTCATTGCAATGTTACCTATGGTGATGGGCAGCTGGGGGACCTGAGTGTCCATCACTGGGGGAGTAGGCAGGAAGGATGTCAGGGAGGAAGCAACTGATTAGAGGTATGCAGGGCAACATGGATGGATTTCAACAAAAAGGTGCTTAGTGGAAAAAGGTAGGTGCTGCATGAGATATGTAACATGATACTATTCACAAACAATAAGAATATGTGCACACAAAAGAACAGTTCAGATTTGCCAAAGCACCCTCAAATAAAAGAGGGCAGACTTTACGGCAGGTGGCACTGCCATTGGAATGGAGCTCTGGAGATGGAGGCATTTGATAGGCAGGGATGGGTGTCAGTAGGGCTGCAGAAAGCTTGCCAGGTGTCTGGAGCAGGGTGGGTCAAGACAAGAACAAAAATGCCAGGCCGTGTAGGGGACAGAACGTGGTTTTGTTTGGCTAGAGTAGAGGGTCCCAGACAGTTGTAGCCATATTGCTGAGGGCTTGGAGGCCTGAATGAGGCATTTGCACCTAGCTTAGCAGGCCGTCGGGAGCTCTTGAAGGTCTTTGCACAGGAGCTGTGGATAGCAGAGCAATGCTGCAGGAGGATGAGACCATGAGTCAGGCGAGCAGTGAATAGAAGAAGAGATGCCAGAGGGAGATCAATAGGAGACAGCACCAGCCCTCTGGTTGGGAAGTTTGAGGGCATATCTAGTGCAGCGGTGGGGGATTGAAATAAAGAGGATAGAAGAAATATTGCAGAACTGGCTGCTACAGGACTTGGCCCCTGGTTGGCAGGGAGAGAGGAGGGTGGGCAGAGGGCATCAAAGACGACTTCTCACTTGATTGTCATGAGGCCTGGACAGTTTTTTGTCCCTCCACCCCATGCCACTGTCTGGTTACCCAGGACCAGCATGGAGCCTGAGAGTGTAGTACTATATCAGTCCCCACTTTCATCCTGCAAAGGGTTTAGAAACTTGAGGTCTGCACACTTCCAAATTAAGTCCAGGTACCTGTACAGCAAGGTACTCCAAGCTCTGGCCAAATCTCATAGGAGAACCAGAGAAGCTATTCTTTGGACCCAATTCCAAGTCTCCCCCACTCGCCATCTCCACTCTCCACTTACACCCATAAAACCTAGAGTGGACAGGCTAGGCCCTGCTGACAATAGAGCTCCTCAAAATGGCAACAGCAAACAATGGAATGTTCCGCAGATGCACAGGAATTCTCTGATAGACGTGTGTCCAGAGATAGCCCACCTGTCCTTTGACATGCTACACAGTTAGATATGTTCCTCAGCTGAATGTGAACTTGGGGATGTCTCATCCCCTGAGAAAATCCACCAGGGCTCCCACATACTGCCACACCGGCCGTACACGGCACAGCACCAGGGGTGCTACTTACTTAGTCTAGGCTTTTCTTCACCCATGAAATGCTGAATCCCACCAGCTCTGTTCCCTGAACTAATAAAACCAGGCTCCTTTTCCTCTCCTCATACTGGGGTGGCTCATCTCTTGTGTATGGCGCTTTCCACTTCTTGGTTATTAGAGACATGTCCGATTGCTCCATTTGAGAGCCAGGATCACCTCTTTCTCATCTCTACATCCCCCATGCTCTCTATAGAGTAGGTGAGGACGAACATTTGCCCAGTGGGTATTTTTTGAAGCATAAAATGGCTGAAGAAACAAGATTCTCCAGCAGGTGTGAGAGGCCACCAAAGCTCGCCCATGCCAGGGGGGCACAGCAGAGAGGTTCATTAGGTCACTCCCTGCCAACACTGAGAGATCAGAACACTTTGGGAAAAGCCTTTCTTCTCCTCTCAATTGTTAGTCACCAGGACAGCAAACATGTTTAGTGGAGAAGCTGGTGTAGTGGGGAAAGACCATGCACTGGGGGTTGAACCTGGTTTCCTCTCAATAGCTGTGACACCGTGAGCCAGACACTCAAACACTCATTGTCTTTGTCTCTAATGTGGGGACATTAGTGCCTCTCGGGCTGCAGGTCAGCATATGAACCTTGTTGACTTTAAATTAGTAAAATAGAGTCAGGCATTTTGTGCCTTTTTTTCCCTTTCTTGTGCCTTTTTTTTTGGGGGGGGTGTCCCTTGGGTCTCTAGAGATAGTGTCTATAGGAATAAAAAGATAACACAATGTTGTTTCTAAAGGTAGGATGGACGGTAGTAGAAAGAAAGCAGGGTTTGGAAATAAGTTTGCTCCATCATTTACTAGCTGTGTGATCTTGGGCAATTTCTGAGCATCTCTGATAGTTACTTTCTTATCTGTAAAATGAAGAAACTTCCCATGGTTGATGTAAGAACTCAATAGGACCTTATGCATAATGCATAGGGCAAAATGCTTGGCCCAGGGTAAATGCTATGCATTTTCCAAAAAGGGGCAAGGCTGGGACTTCCTTACTTTTATGTATTGACATTGGGAGCAGAAACCATGAGCTGGATCATTGGCTAATATCTCCAGGACCTTGTCTTCTCTAACCATTGAGCTATTTCAATTCCACCAGCAGCCAAGGTCCACCAATATCAGAGGAACCTCGTGCAGCACGGGAAACCTGGGTGTGTAGATAGTTCTCCAGTGTTTCCAACAGGCCGCTCAGTTCAAAGCACAGCCTCAGCAGAAATGAAGCTAAAACGTCTGCTTTTTCCAGTCTGCTTTTTTTATCTGGATTCAGTAACAACAGATCAAATGGAGGTGATTTGGAAACAAAGCAAAATGCAACTGTAAGACATGAATATTTATGATAAAATTCAAATTGCATGGGAATGTAAACAGGATGTCACTCATAGAAAATAATTTACATAGAAGAAAGGATTGCACAAAGCAGTCTGAATTTTTAGAAGCCGCCAAGAACCAAGCTAGAGAAACATGGCTGGCCACACCACTGCCAATTTCCATTGGGTCATCTAGGAGATGTAAATCAGGCATAAAAAGCAATGAAGTTCTGATACCTGCTATGACATGGAGGAACCTGGAAAACATTATGCTGAGTGAAATAAGCCAGATGCAGTATATTATCCAATTATACAAAATATCTAGAAGAGGCAAATTCATAGAGACAGAAAGAGGTTACCAGGAGCTGGAGGAAGGGGGAAATGGAAGGTATTGTGTAATGGGCACAGGTTTCTGTTTGGAGTGATCGAAAAGTTTTAGAAGTAGACAGTAGTGAAGGTTGCACAACATTGTGAATGTAATTAATGCTACTGAATCGTACACTTAAAAATGGTTAAAATGGCAAAGTTCATGTTATATATTTTTACCCCAATTTAAAAAAGAGAAAACCAATGCCATGTAAAAAGAAAAACTGCTTTAATTCTTCACAAGTCACATCAGCGCAAGAATTGGCTGACTTTTCATTAAAAGGCATCTTTTGCTTAAAATGAAAACTCAACCCGTAGAGTCTGTCTATAAAGAAATTCAAATTACTTTCTCTCCAGTAACATGAAAGAAAGCATTTTTATGCTAGATGGTTCCCTCCTCCCTGTTTTCTCAGAAGCCCGCCAGTGACATCCAATGGCCCTTCCACCCAGTGGGCATCATACCTTGGTAGAGCAGGTTGTCAGGGGGGTGACTGACAGCAGTCACTTTGGAGGATGTTTCTACTTCATAGCCTGTAGGCAAGTTGTCCAAAATGGCACTGGAGTATCTGGTGGAACCCAGCCACAGGTACACATCCACTTTCGCTTGCACTGACCAGCCAGCAGGCCGTTTTCCAGGAAGCTGAGGAAGGGTTACAGGGAAGACTTCCTCGTTAGTAGGAACCAGTTATTGGCCTCGCTCTTTGAGTAGGTCTTTCCTGGGAACCTGGCCTGGAGAACAGTTCTCTTCTTATACCAAAGTGAGAGCAATGACCCCAGTTGCCAGAGACGGATCCAGGTTTAGTTGGGCCTGAGGCTTAAACAGGCACTGTGATAAACACTTCTATGCACTGGACTGCTAAAAGCTAATTAAAAAAAAAAAAATGCATCAATTCCAACTCACGTGACCCCGTGTGTTTCAGAATAGAACTGTGGTCCTGAGGGTTTTTACAGGTAGCTACTATGAGTCAGAATCAACTTGACGGCACCTAACAACACCACCACCATGATAAAACCCAGTTGTTATCAACTTGACTTCGATTCATAGAGACCCCATGTGTGTCAGAGTAGAACTGTGCTCCATAGGGTTTTTAATGGCTGGTTTTCCAGAAGTAGATCACCAGGAGTTTATTCCAAGGCACCTCTGGGTGGACTTGAATCGCCAACCTTTTGGTTAGCAGCCAAGTACATTAACCATTCACACCACCCGGAGAATCCAAGTACTATTATAGCCCCTGTTTTATAGATGAGGAAACTCAGGCCCAGAGAAGTTGAATGAGTTGGCTACGATTATTCAGCTTTAAGTGACAGAGCCAGGGCTCGGACCCAGGAGAGATGAGCCCAAATCTAGACTCTAGAATCTGAACCCCCATAGCCTGCCTCTTTCTCGCACTGAGGTGAAATCTCCCTCCCTGGAGCTTCCAGTTGTCAGTCACAGTTCTACCTCTTTGGTTTGCTCAGAAGAATTCAAATGCTTCTTCCGTATGTCAGGCCTTGAAGAAAACTACCTGTCCCTCCCATGTCCTTTCTTTCTTGACTAAACACCTCTAGTTCTTCCTTCATCCCTTCTTTATGCAGCGTGGTTTCTAATTCCTTTGCTCTACCTCTTTCTCGCCTTTGAATATGCTCTGATTTGTATATATATTTATGTGTGTTTGAATTTCTGCATTTATGTGTATATTAGTATGTGTGATGTGAGTGTGTATATGGGGCATGTGTGTGCACGTACATGTATTTGTGTGTGTGTGTGTGTATGTGTGTGCATGTATTCTCAAGATGTGAAGGACACAACTCCACATAGTATTGCTCCTTTATCTCTCCGTAGCCAGATTAGGGGACTCCCTGCCCACGTCTAAGCAGTCCCAGCCTCCAGCTCGGCTGCATTCAGGAGGTTGACAAGGCCTGTGGCACTTGGGACATCTCCACCTCTTCATTCTGTTGACTCTTCTAAGTGCCTCCTCCTAGTGTTTCTTAGAATTTCCTACCAGTAATCTCCCTTTTCTTCTGCACTACTCCTCTTCCACAGAGAATCACAGAATCCTAGAGGCTAGCACTTGCTCTGACAATTTCCAAGGCAGCCCTGGAGAGCCCCTGGATCCAACATTGAGCATGGTGGTTTGCCTGTTTAGCTTGCTTTCTGGCAAATTCATGAACAGATTTTAGCAACTCATTTCAGTCAACTACATCAAGGGCCACTAGACTATTGCTGAGGGAGCGGGGCCCGGGGCCACCAGAGTAACGAAGACATGGTCCAGCCCTCCTTCCATGAGCTCATGTCTAGACAAGAAGATTGTTATAGGTTGAATTGTGTCCCTCCCAAAATAACGTGTTGAAATCCTAACCTCTATACCTGTAAAAGGAGCCCTGGTGGCTCAGTGGTTAAGAGATTGGCTGCTAACCAAAAGGTTGGCAGTGCGAATCTACCATCTGCTCCTTGGAAACCCTATGCAGAATAGACTCGATAGCAATGGGTTCATTTTTTTTGTTAAATATGACCTTGTTTGGAAATAGGGTTTTTCTTTTGTTATGTCAACAATGTCATACCAGAGTAGGGTGGGTCCTAAACTTGTTCTGAGCTATAAAAAGAGCAGAATAGATACAGAGACGCATACATAGGGGGAAGACAGACTCCAAGGAACACCCAGGAACTCCTGGGGCTACTGACAAGGAAGAATCTTCCCCAGAGCCGTGCCCTGAATTCGGACTTTTCTCCAGAACTGTGAGAAAATAGATTTCTGTTCTTTAAAGCCACCTGCTCGTGGTATTTTTGTTACAGCAGCACCAGGAAACTAAGACAGAGACTGACTTGTATTCAATTACTCACACGGTAAGTATAATAATGCTAAGTATAAAAGAAAATGCTAAGGGGGGTGGAGGGGTCGAGAAGAAAAAATAGCAGGTATTTCCATCTTTTCTTTGAGACTCAAATATATAGATGGGCCTCAAACAACACTTTGGAGTTGGCCCAGTAGTGAAGGCATCAGGGAAGAGGGAAGTGCTTGGGCACAGACATGGCGACAGGAACTAATAGTGATAATATGAGCTAATACTAGTGAGTGCTCTCATTGTTCCAGGAACAGTGCTGAGAGCTTTCAGAAAAGAAGGAATCGCAACCAGTGAGCATAAGAGCTGTGGCAGAGGACGGCACAGATGAGACAGAAGAACCCTTTCACTATGTAGAGGAATAAGGATTTTATTCTTATTCTTTAGGGAGGAGATACGATTATTTGTTCAGCTCAATAAAACAAATCATTACTGAGCCCTTAAGGTCATTTTGTTGTTGATGAAAGCAAACATTCTGCAATCTGAAAATTGTTTAATTATAAGAAGACAGGTAATCCTCAATTTATCATTTCTTTAATAATCATAACAGCTAAAATATATCAAGCATTTGTTCAATAAAGCAAATATTTAGTGAGAACCTATGGTCATTCTGTTGTAATCAAAGTAATTGTTCTGCCATTTGTAGACATCACTAGGACATCAATTCACAGGGTCAGTCTGATATTTTTTCACTCCTGTGGGTTCACAGCGAGATCTTCAAGGTTTGGCACCCAGGAAGCACTTGATAAATAGTCGTTGAACGAATAGTCCTTTATTTCTTTTTTTCTAACAATAATATTTAACATGTGTTGAGCACTTACATTGTTCCAGGGCCTGGCCTAAGGTTCATCTGTACACACACAATGTTCTAATTCCTTCATAATAGTAACAAGTCATAAATTATCATTAATCCTCACAATAATTCTATAAGGTAGATGCATAATAATTAAATAAGGTAGATTTTTTTGTTATGTACGTTTTAAAGATGAAGAAACAGAGGTTCAGAGCGGTTAAGACAATTGCACAAGGTCACAGAATGAGCCATGGATAGAGCCAAGACTCAAACCCAGTTCTACCTGACTCCAGAGACCATACTCCTAGCCAGTGCTCCTTACACACATATCAGTACATATGAATTGCCTGAGCATCTGGTTAAAATGTCAGCTGGTCTGGGGTGGAGTTTGAGAGTCTGCATTTCTCCCTGTTGATGCTGATCCAGTGGTCTGCAGACCACAGTTTTAAGTATTTAAGGAACAAGACTCTTAACTTACTATGTGACATTGCCCCAAGCAAGTCAAATATTTTTTACTCCTTAAAGTAAAGCAAAAACAAAAACAAGAAAAAGCATTATCCATTTCTGCTGCTACAAAAACAATGTGTGTGTGAACTCATGTTTAGAACAAAAACTTAGCTACCATCTTGTGAAAGTGTTACATAAGAACCACTGCTGCAATCCTCAAGTCTGTAGCTTCTACATTTTTTTTTAATACACAAATTCAGTTCGCTTACAAGATGATGTAGAGGCTCTCTCTCACCTAAGTATTCAAATTGGAATTCACCCAACGTTACTGAACACCTTCCTAAGGGCTTTCAAAAAACATCCCGTTTTTAATTTCACATGCACTTCCAGCCTGATGTGTGTCTTTCTCACTTTCTCTCTTCTCCCCTATTTTTCTTTATTTCTCATGTGTCACTGAAGCCTTATCAACCACAGAAAGTTCTCTCCTGTTGAGAATAGCATGGTAAGATATGGGAAAATCACCAGGGAAAAATAATGAAAGAATGCAAAAGTGCATCAAAACTGTGATCACCAACGTATGAAAATTACATGCAACAGAATGCTAAAGTCTTAGCCTCTCCCACCCTCTACCCACCTCTCCCAGGGGTCCTGGTCCATGCCAACTAGCTTTAAAGGAAGAGGTAATCTTGGCAAGTCAGAGAGCTGAGAGAAAGATGATAATTCACGTAAACTGTGTTACAGTTGGTCAATCAACATGAGTAAGAGAAAGGCTTGTTTATCTTGTAGATGTTTCACTCTGTGGCAGGACCCAAAAAGATGTCTTTCAGCCCCCACTTTCCACTTGCTGTACACTAGCGAAAGCTGACGGACAGCTAGAGGCCACAGAAGAAGAGACTGGACTCAGGTGTGGAGCAGTAGATAGAACTGGTTAGGGATGGAGACAAGAGTGAAATGAGGCTCCGCCTGGGGTGGACTCAGCACAGAGAGGTGACTAAAGGAGAAAAAAAAGGAAGGTTAAACACCGCCCTCTGGGCTGCAAGTGCATCTGGCTCAGTCCATGGAAGGTTTTTCTTTTGGTAACGAATGTTCTTTTCCACCTTTCCGGCCATTAGAGGTATCGCGGGATGAGATTGAAAGGGGATAACTTTGGTTTTGGGGATGGTGGAATTGGGATGAGTTTTGAAAATTCTGTTCCACTATCTTAAGTAGCATTGTAAATAGATTTAAATCAGGGGAAAAAAAAGAAAAAACCAAGAAACCAGGTACCATGAAACCCCGGTGGCAGTGACAAATTTTGCATTACTGAGCCATGTGGCTTCTGACGAGGCACCTTTTCCTCCTTTGTGAAACAAAAAAGCTACTCCAGATTAATATTCCCCAAACCGGGCCCCGAAGAACAGTGGTTTCCTAAAACTTGTAAATAGCTATTTTGGTTGAATAAGCTTGGGAGGTGTAGGTTTAAAAACTTCATGGTGTTTTCCCAACTGCAGGATTTCTCTGAGCATTAGAAGACTGGTTAAAGGGTCTTACGAAACTCTAAGAGAGGGCTACAGCCACAGCCTCCTAAATGCATGTGAGCATGGAATGTTTAATGAAGCCACTTAAAGGACAATGTTACATGGACTATACTTTCAGAAACTAGAGGTTTACTTTCTATGCTTTGTCTTACTCCACTTCCTCATTTCCAGCTCAGAAGCTTGAGTGAGTGACAGGTGTGTAAGCACTTTGTCCCGCTGGCGCAGCTGTTGCTCTCTTCAGAGTTACCCATCCAGTGAGGAGAAAAGGAGATCAAGGAAAGAGAGTTAAAAAGCAAGGGTAACAACCAAAACAGGAATAAAATTAATTTTACTCAGTCTGCTAATCAAGATGTTTCATCATGTCAGTACAACTGAATTCAACAAGATTTAGAAAGCTATCGCCCAAAGCAATCCTAACGGCCAAAGGAAAATACAGATAAAGAAGTAATTCAAGGCTTACAGCACTAGGGTGGATTCAGAGAGATGGACACACACTAGAAATGCTGAGCCACCCAGGAAAACAGAGGTTTCTCATCTTGTAGTCAAAGTTGACTGAGTCACGCTGACCTCACGTGTGTCGGAGTAGAAGTGTGCTCCACAGGCTCTTCAAAGCCAGATTTTTTGGAAGTAAATAGCCAGACCTTCCTTCTGAGGTACCTCTGGGTGGACTCAAACCTCCAACCTTTTGATTAGCAGCCGAGCACATTAACCATTTGTACCGCCCAGAGACACTGTAGTCAAAACTAATGCAGACTTACTTTGAGGAAATGAGTTTTGATCTTCCCGCAGTGTTTGCCCATCTGCTCCCGGATGGGGGAATAGAGCACATCTCTGGAGGTGATGCGGGCATATGCCACTCTCTTGTTGTTGCTCAGCATCCAAATGAAGACATCAGGGATGGTGTGCTGTGGCTGTGGAACGAAGGAGAATGGGATGTGATAGGTATTCAACAAGCGCACATCCAGAGTTCTCCTACGCTGAAACAGTCCCTCTTCTCCTGCAAAACAAGTTCTGTGACTGAAAACACCTGTGCAACCAAGCAAGTTAAGTATAGCTTCCTGGAGAAGAGAAAGCTTTTGGTCTTGAATTAGCAGTACATGGAAACCCCATATGCCAAATTACTTGTTGTGCTTTGAGGATATGCAAGTTGGATACATGGTTTGGCATATTGGTGGCCTACTTATCTCCATCTGTAGAACAAACATTTTTCTACTACTTTTTTTTCTTCTAATTGTTTAAACTGAAGAATTGCAGCCCGTCTGGAGCAAGGGAGAATGAAGAAAACCAAAAACACAAGGGAAAGATTAGTTCAAAGGACTAATGGACCGCAACTACCACAGCCTCCACCAGACTGAGCCCAGCACAACTAGACGGTGCCTGGCTGCCACCACTGACTGCTGTGACAGTGATCACAAGAGAGGGTCCCGGACAGAGCTGGAGAAAAATGCAGAACAAAATTAAAACTCACAAAAAAAGTTCAGACTTACTGATCTGACAGAGACTGGAGAAACCCCGAGAATATAGCCCTTGGACACCCTTTTAAGTCAGCACTGAAGTCACTCCTGAGGTTCACCCTTCAGCCAAAGATTAGGCAGGCCCATAAAATAAACAATAATACATGTAGCTCAACCACGTATACAAGACTAAATGGGCACACCAGCCCCGGGGCAAGGACGAGAAGGCAGGAGGGGGCAGGAAAGCTGGACCAATGGAAATGGGGAACCCAAGGTTGAGAATGGGAGAGTGTTGATACATCGCAGGGTTGGCAACCAATGTCATGAAACAATACGTATATTAATTGTTTAACGAGAAACTAATTTATTCTGTAAACGTTCATCTAAAGCACAATTTTAAGAAAAGGTAAATAAACCTCTTCAGAGCCAGGTAACATTTCCAGAACATTCAAATAAAATAACAAAAATGAAAATTCATGAATGCCTTTCTGTTTGCACTTAAGGAACGGAAAACAATTCTACAAGGGACTCGATACCTAAAATGTGATTGCCAAGTATTTTAGCTCCACTTTAGATGGTTATTCAGAAGAAACTTGACTAAATTGCACAGAAAACCTAGACTTTAAAGTGAGCTAATCAAGGCTGGAATTGCAGAATTTCCTGCCAAGTGGCCCATTACATTGTGCGTGTTTGAAATGCACATTTCTGAACCAATATAACTACCAAAGCAAAAAGGAGGTATATTGTCAGAAACTAGGCTTTGTTCTTCCTGGACCGGAAGCACATACTTCTTCTAACCCCGTAACGCTACGGTATAATTGGCACCCAAAGAAGTTCAGCCCTTCTCTTGATATGAAGAACAGACACTGGTATGGAGGTTTTCCTGACCCCAGAGTCTTCAGTCACAGACCTGAAGCTTCAATGTCTGGTTTGAACTTTTGAGTGCATAGTAAAATTCCTGCGTCAACTCCCTGCCTGTCTCACTGCTGGTTATGCCTCCGGGGAATGACTGATAACGTGACAAGAAACACAACTTTCAAGAATAACGGAAGATGTAAATCTGTACCTCTCCCTGAAACCCAACTTAAGAAACTTCTACTCATTCTCAGGCTTCAAGAAGGAGCTCCAGTACCTGACAGATGCAAACATGAAGACCTTTCTAGATCATTTGAGCACTCACCAGAAGGCACTGTTTACAACTTAACTTTAAAAATGAAAAGCTGTTTTGACATTTATTGGGCATGGATTTAAATCTTCTTACAGCTGAAAACTTATCAAAGATACCGTACTTATTTGGCCTTTTCTTGAATCCACCAGGGAACGTGCTTTTTATTGCTGCTGAATATTCATGCTTTGTAAACCATCAATAAAGCTGTATATGTTTGGCTTAATTTAAAAATCTCCTCTCTCACCCCTAAACCAACAGTGCCTGCTCAGCTCAGCAGGTCTTGGGAAAAAACAGCGCTCTATCCTTCATCCTTACCTGATATCCAGACCTCACTAGGAAGGCATTGGGTCTAATTTTCCAAATAAGGTTTGCCTTTAGGATTGATTTACCTCTTCAACAAGAAAGTGGATCTTTTCCACAAAGGTTTGGGCTTTTCTGATCATTTCATCGAGAGATAACTTCTGCTGTTGTTGAATGATCCCTTTCGCCTCCTTGGTCATTGCCTCCTAAAACAAGAAAAGAGTCAATGTAGATCTTTCTCAAATCTAGACAGCAAGCATTGTGCTGTCTGGAGAGTTCCTGATGGTGGTTGTAAGCTCCATCTGAGCTGCTCACATGGACTGTTTCAGGGTCTGCCACTGGGCACGCTGCCCATTTCATAGAAATTTGGAAGGAATATGGAGGCAGTGAATATCATCTCACCTTTAATTGATGGATGAGAAGCTGAGGCCCAGAAAGGCCAGTTTGCCGAGGTTACACAGCTGCGTTAGCCCAGACCCAAATTCAGACTTTCTGATGCTTAACAACACAATAATAATAGCAGTCACAATTCGTTAAGCTATGACTCCAAAGATTTAAGCAATAAGTAACCTGATCAAGTTTGTGTTTTAGAAGGACCATTTTGGTTGGGTTGGAAGATGGATTGCAGTAAGCCTTCTGCAATAGTCTAGGCCAGAGATGCTAAGGAACTAAGTGATTCTGGGGATGAAGAAGTGGAGTAAATTCCAGAATCTTTAAGCAACAGAATCAGCAGGACTGGGCAGGTCCAACCAGCTGTTTAAGACGATGGATAGGAAGAATTCAAAATTGATTCCTCAGCTTCTGCTGGGGCAGTAAGTACAGCTGGCGGTGCCAATACAGGTGAGAAGATGATGGGTCCAGTAGGTTATATCAAGTTTGAGGGGCTGTGAGATGTGCAGGTGAGATGTCTCCAAGGAGGTTGGAAACAGGTCTGGAGGTGAGGAGATAGAGCTGGGTCACTACAAAGATATTGGTGGTTGTTGAAATCATGGACTTGTTCAGGGCAAGGACTGTTGCACAATGAGAGACACTAGACCTCTACAGACAACAGGTAATAGATGGACATTGCAGAGACCGAGAAGGCAGTCAGAGATGCTAAAGAAGGATTACTGTTGTTGTCGAGTGCCGTGGAGTCAACTCCAACTCAGCGTGACCTCATGTGACAGAGTAGAACTGCCCCATAGGGTTTCCTAGGCTATAATCTTTATGGGAGCAGATCACCAGCTCTTTTCTCCCGTGGAGTGGCTGGTGGGTTTGAACCACCAACCTTTCAGTGAGCAGCTGAGTGCTTAACGATTGCACCACCAGAGCTGCTTAAAGAACTAGGGTAGGAGAGAGATCTTATATACAATGGGAATGTGACATCCCCTAAATGTTCTGGAGGACTGAAGAAAAGTATCCTGGCAGAGTGGCAAGAAGGATGAGCCAGGAGTTAAGAGGCATGGATTTTAGTCTCTGAACCACCATTAACTAGCTGTGACCTTTGGAAAACTTTTTAATCTCTTTGGGCCCCACTCATATCTTTAAAATCCCCCTGGACAACTCAAGCAGTGCATGATTTTTTTTCCTGCAAAATTATCACGGCCTCATATAAAATATTCCTGGTGCCATTGCTGGAGCTGAAGATTCAGGATAGGATAATCCAGGGTCGGACTTCATCTGGCATTTCTCAGTCACCACTCATTCAACAAAGACTGAGCATCTACCAGACACCCAGCATTATGCAAAGGATCTAGGACACAGAGAGGCATCAAATGCTGCCCTGTTCTTAAGAAGTGCATATAAGCAAGGCTTTTCAACTCTCTACACAATTTTCAATGACAAGAAAGCAAGGAGGAGAGAATAGTTATTTCTTTTGGTCTCTCAGCTTGTGGGACAGCTGACTGAGGTCTACAGCCCTGGGAAAAATACAAATGTCAAGAAAATAAGGGGGAAAATCCATCAGAATAGAAAGTAGGAAGGATGGGTTCTTGTAAGTGTTAAATAAATGCAAGTTCATTTCCAACCTCTCATGTCTCTACATCGTACAAATGTCTGACGTTTAGAACTTTATTCTCATCTGGTCTATGGCCTATGCCTCATCCATGATGTTTATTTTTAAAGCACATGTTTTAACTCCGTTCAGAGTATAAATAGATGTTCACATACCAGCTCCTGCCAATAGAGCGTAAGTCGTTTCTTATCTAAAGTAGTTTGGTTCAACATCTTGGGTTTTTTTTCTGCTTCAGAGATAAAGGCACTGTAAGAGAAGAATAACAATTTTGAAATCTACTTAGTGAAAGTCCATTTATATAATTCCAGAGATTTGCAAATATACTTTCTGCAATACAATAAGAAAGCTGATAAAGCCACTGAACTGAGATTTTTAATTTAGGATCATACAGTGAGGCACCAACTTTCTTAAGCAACAAAATGCAAATTGGAAATGATGCTCAGACCCCACTTTAGTTCTGGGGAAAGGATATTTGTTTTTCCACTTTTTTCCAGTATGTATCGGTTGTAATTGCTGTCAAAATTTATAATAACAGACACAAAATAATGTCGTTTCCCTCACCTTATAAATTTAACACACACCAAAAGTTTCCTGAAAAATGGTATGTAAAGGAGATATTTCAGACTCAATACTGAGAAATGTTCCCACATTTTAAAAACTGTACAAAAGGCTAAATAGTAACATTGTTGGGGATGAAGTTAAAAATGTATTCAAAAGGAAGATGGTAAAGATTATTAATGCAATTTAAGAAAAATATAAATGGTCAAAAAACTTGAGGAAATAAGATATTGTCCTCATTAGTAATAACTTAAATACAAATTAAAACGTATACCATTTTCACCTATCAGTCGGGTAAAGGTTAAAAATTGGTAATATTCAAGGCTGGTGAAGATGTGAGGATATTGTCACTCTCCCACACTATTGGAGGCGAGTGTAACTTGTTATGATGTTTAGAGGCTATTTGACAGCACCTGGTGGTGTAGTAGTTAAGTTCACAGCTGCTAACCAAACGGTCAGCAGTTCAAATCCACCAGGCACTCCTTGGAAGCTCTATGGGGCAGTTCTACTCTGTCCTATAGGGTCGCTATGAGTCAGAATCAACTTGATGGCAACAGGTTTGGTTTGCTTGTTTTTAATCAATATTTAAATGTATATGTAACTTGACCCAAATATTATACTAGAATTCTATCTTTTAAAAATAATCCAACAATTTTACAAGAATATCTTTACACAATAATGTTAATCACAGCATTGTTTCTAACAGCAAAATAAATGGGAACTATTTCAACACCATTAGCAACTAGTTAAATATAGCGTAACACATCCACACAACTGAATACTGAGGATGATTATTACATACTGCTATGGAAAGATGCCTGTGATATATCGTTAAGTAAAAAGGAAATCTGCTGAACAAAATGTATAGTATGATTTTTTTAATAAATATAGTATTTTTGTGAGTGTCTCTGTTAGAGTGTGTTGTTTGCAAATGCACAGAAAAGGGTCCAGAAGGGTAAATCAAACTTTTCTCTTTGGAGAGCCGGGCTGGAGAGAGGAATTGAAGAGAGAATTGACGCATTTCTGTTTTATACATTTATGCTTTTTTTTTTTAACTGTGAACATATATTTATTACTTTTGTATTGAAAAAATCAATTACAAAGGAAACAAAAAAGGAAGTCCAAGAAGCCATACCTCCAATGAAGAGTTCCACACCATTGTCTCTTAATTTTTAAAAGGAATAAAAAGGATTATATTTTGAGGAAGGAGTCTTATTGCCCCACTCCTGCCTTTCACAGAGGCGTGAGGAATTCTACTCCATCTCCCAGGAGGGATCAGCGCAGGGGGACAAGGTAACCACCACTTTTGATCTCTCTCTCCCCCATAAAACCAAAAATCACACTCATTGCAAAGGAATCGACTCCAACCCATAGCAACCCTCTAGGACAGAGTAGAGCTACCCCATAGGGTTTCCAAGGAGAGGCTGGTGGATTCGAACTGCCGACCTTTTGGTTAGCAACCGAGCTCTTAACCACTATGCCACCAGGGCTCCCCTCTTCCCCATAAAGGGAAGAATCATTTATTTCATCATCGAAATTGGAGTAAATGGCCACTATACACGTTGCCATTCATTCTCTGATTTTCAGACCCAGTCTGCCAGCTCACTGTGGGCAACTTCCTCACCTCCTGTCCCTGCAGAAGCGGTGTGGGGGTGGGGGGTGGGGGGCAGGGTAGGGAGGAAGCCCCGGAAGTCCAGCTGCTCAGCCATGAATGGATGGGAGCAGGAAGCCCACTTTGACCTCAGGTTCAAGCTGCTTTCGCAAATCCGGGTTTACCAGATAAAAACTACCATTTTGATCTCTGTCTGACCCTTAGGAATATTCTTTCAGTTGGTTGTAAACTTGAAGGAGAAAGGGCCATGATTAATCACCACCCACAAGTAACCTCCTAATACAGAAAAGGTATTGAGCTAGAAATTTACCTACAAACCATTTTAAAACATATAAGGGCATTATACAGGTTTTTAAAGATGCTCAAAGGGAATTGCAGGTGGTCTTACATATCACAGCAGCAGTACTGATATATACTGCTCTTATAATGAAAAATGAAAGAGAATAAAAGTAGAAAAAAACTCAACTTTTTTTTTCTTTTCTTTCCTTTTTGTTTTTTAAGTGAAAATGGTTGGATAACTGAAAGATTGAAAAAAGATAGAACGTATAAAGCCAAAGATCAGAATTTAGCAACTCTTTGTCTATCACTTTTTGCTCTACACCAAATTAATCTCCACCCCTTTTCCATTGACTCCATTATGAAAAATTCTCGTTTCTGCTCAAGTCTTGACCTAATTAATTTCAAGAGTTAGCCCAAGTGTTTCCTTATGTGACTGGCAGCCTCTAAGATGGTTCCCGGTGGTCCACGCCTCCTGGTACTCACCCCCTGGTGTAATCCCCTCCCTCTGAGCGTGGGCTGGACCTAGTGGTTTGCTTATAACCAATAGAATCGGTCAAAAGTAAGATGTCACTTCTAAGATTAGCTCATAAAAGACTGTGACTTCCATCTTGCTTGCTTTCCCTCTCCTTGCTCTCACTGATGAAGCCAGCTGCCATCTTGTGAGCTGCCCTGTGGAGAGGTCCACATGGCAAGGATTTGATGGTGGCCTCCAGCCAACAGCCAGCAATGAACTCAGCCTAATAGCCCATGAAAAACTAAATCCTGCAAATAACCACAGGTGTGAGGTTGAAAGCAGAGCCTCCCCCAGCTGTGCCTTGAGATGCCTGTAACTCCAGTGGACACCTTGGTTGTCGCCTGTGAGAGACTCTGAGCCAGAGGACCCAGCTCACTCACACCTGAATTCCTGACCCACAGAACCTGTGAGATAAGAAATGCTGTTGAGGTAAGCCGCTAAGTTCCTGGGGTAATTTGTTATACAGTTACAGGTAATTAATATACCCTATTTTTGGTCTTTTATTCTATTGCCTACCACCTGAAATAAATCATTATTGGTGCTTATTAATGTGTTACAGGAAAATTTCTACTAAATACTATATGACATAAGGTATCCATCTAATTGTTGAATATCTGTTGAGTGCCTACCAAATTCAAAGCACCATACTGTGCACTAACACTTCTAGCATTTTCCTTGTTTCGTGAAGAGTCTCTGTAGTCAATCTTTCTTGCTTGCTTTTCTTTTCATTTTCCCCCCTTTGGCTTGTAGTTTAGTTGTTTATTATATTTAGCCCATAAGTGCCAGCTATGACTGAACAAAATAAAGATACAATACTATAAAGTGCCCATCTGAATGCATGTAAAATCGACTATGTTCTCAAGGTAATTCAGAGCTGCTTTCATAGACGCTTAGCTCTCCATATGCCAGCTGTCACTCCTGCTACCTGCTTTGACTGATAAAGTCACTGAGCACCATCTTCATTTTCTCTTCTGGCACCTCCTCTGAAATCTTGATCAGCTCTCTCACTTCTTCTATACCTTCTTCCTGAAAACAAACCACAGCGGTAGAGGGATGAGGGGTGGGAATCACACGCTGTAGTAGAGATACTGATTATAACATTAGTATTTGGCTAATTTTTGTTTTTGCTTCGGAGCACGAGGAAGATTTCACTCATTTTCTCGTGCCTGAACTGGGAAATGCCCCTGCACCCCAAGCATACAAAGAACCGAAACTTTGAACCTTCTCTTTCTTAACTGAAATTGATCCAGATACAAGTTTCCATCTGCATTGCCAAAACTCATTGCTTCTGTCACAGATCCATTTCCCATCTGGGCACCATTTATTTAGTCTACCCCGTACAGAAACTTGGAGCTCTGGTGGCGCCGTGGTTAAGAGCTCAGCTGCTATCCAAAAGGCCGACAGTTCGAAACCACTACCCGCTCCTTGAAAACCCTGTAGGGCAGTTCTATTCTGTTCTACGATGAGTCGAAATCGACTTGATGGCAATGGGTTTGGTTTTGGTTTCTTGTAGGGAAACTTAATGCCATAGGGAATATCTAGTAGAGTAAATTAGATTTAATTACCAAAATTTGAAAAGCAATGTTAAGTCGATTTCCTATATAGAAATATAATCATATTGAATAATCCCTGAAATTTAAGGGCTATCATTTCTTCTGATTATGTGAGTTTTTAGCTGAGGGGTGGGGCAGGCTGTATATGGGAATGGCTGTATGCTTGTATACCTAATAATTGTACTTTTCCTTTTTGGAGCTGAATCTAGGATTCCATTCAGTGGCTTGAAGGAAAATGTACATGCTGCCAGTGCTTTGCTAGAATTCACAAAAACTACTATCTCTATCACATGCCAAAATCTAGTGCTTGGGGACATAAGTTTCCCTGTTCTCCACTTCACGATAAGAACAGGCAACATCATGGAGTGGTTAATGGTTTGAGCTGCAGGGTCAGACTGCCTAAGTTCATTCAAATCCAGGCTCTACCATCTGTGAAGTAACCTGACCTCTTTATCCACAGTTTCCTCATCTGAAAAAGGGATAATGATAGTACCTGCCTACAACATCATAGGGGTTGTAAACTTCCTCAAACAGTGCTTAAACCCATTGCTGAGGAGTCAATTCTGACTCATAGCGACTCTATAGGACAGAGTAGAACTGCCCATAGAGTTTCCACAGCTGTAACCTCCATGGAAGCAGACCACCACATCTTTCTCCTGTGGAGCGGCTGGTGAGTTTGAACTGCCGACCTTTTGGTTAGGAGCTGAGAGCTTAACCATTGTGCTACCAGGATTCCTTAAACAGTGTTTGGTGCTTAGTGAACGTTCCATCATGTTAGCCATGAGGAAGTACTGATATGCCAGCATGGAAGGGATCCTGTGACTGAGAAAGGAAGAAGAAATGATTGCTAGAGGTTACTATGGCCTCTAGGAGAAATTCTGATTTGTTTTGCCAAGCCTCTTAGAAATAAATCATTCTGTCTGAGAGAGAGGCAAGACCAGCCTCACAAAGACAGTCAGTGACCTCCACATGGTATGACAGCCAAACAGGCCCCTGGGCCCCTTTCGGAGTCCTTCTCCATGATGCCTAGAATCCCCAAGGCCAAGGCCAGAGACAATATGTGGCTTTACACAATTAGACAAGGATTATAAAGCAAACAAGAGACAGAAGTGTGTTCTTCACTTAGTGTAGGTTTTAATGGAATGGGAGGGAGAAGACCAGGGTTATCTGGTGAGTCATGGTGGGTCAGAGAGTAGATGTAAGATGTGTAGTAAGATGTGTGGCATGGGAAGAGGAATGTGAGAGTAGGAGAAAGGGATTCTTAGAGGGAAAGTGAAAATACCAAAGAAACAGAGTTCCTAGGTTTTCTTTCCTCCCTGGAGGTTGGATGGACAAGGTACAATTTATTGCAGTTGGGCACTATTTTAAATACTTTCACATATTCAATTCCACAAATATTTAGCTCCTACCAGCTGCCAGGTATTACAGTAGATGCTATAGAAACAGTAGGAAATAGATATTGAACAAATAAAGACACAAATAAATTAAAAATTATGATAAGAGTTCTGAAGGAGAAGAACAGAGTATGATGGGAGAGGATATGAGGGAGGAGAAGGGGTCAGAATGCTTTTCAGAGGACGTGCGTTGAAGCTGAGCCACAAAGGTTGACTGGGTTATGCAAGAGAAGAATAGAGGAGGTAAATAGTTTAGGCAGATGGAACAGAGTGTTGGTAGTTGTGAAGCTTAAAAGAACTTGGTTTCTTTGAGAAACTGAAAGAAGACCAGTGTGACTGGAATAAAGTAAAGGAGGAAGCAAGTGAAAAGATGGACTGGACAGGTGTGTGGGGCCTGATCTTGTAGGAGCCTGTCAGCCATGTTAGGAATTTAGGATTTTATTTTAGGTGCATCCAGTATCTATCATTTTTGTGAGAAGGTTGTCAGCCCCCTTCCCTTTGGAGATAAGGAAACTGCCCTATCTGCATGTCCTATAACAGTATGAATCAGAGCAGGGATTTGACTTCAGGTCATCTGATTTAAAGTCCAGGGATTTTGTAAATTGTATTCTCATTCCCCTGGGTCCACAATGTAGACACCATGTGATATGTCTGTGCTATGTCCTCCAAATGCAGCAACGTTTATTCATTTGTATTTAAACTAAGGTCCAGACTGTCTACTAGGTGGACAAAAATCTCCTTTTGCCCCCAGCTTCCTGATCTTCAAACCCGCTGGCTATCCAAGTCATTTACCAGGAGGTCCGCCATTTTCTCCAGCATGTTGGACCAGTAGAGCCTGAAGGTCTGGTCTCCCCATGAGCTGATGAAGTAGACACAAGGCTTCCTGGCATCAAATGGCAAATAGTTGTAATTCCTGAGAAAACACATTAAGACTGGCAGTTAGTTGACAATCAGTGGTTTTCAGTCAATCCAGCCACATGTTCAAGTTTTGCATGTTGTGGGCAAGACGGGTGGCGGTGGTAATGACAGAACCTTTTAACTATTAGCCCCAGCCTTGGCCTCTAACTGGAGACCCCCTGAACAAGAGAAAATGAGCAATCATGTGGCTACAAAGGGAAGGTACTAATGACTACCGTCAGACCCAGGGCAAAGCTTGCAAATGACCACAAGAGGGCAGGATTTATCAGGCAAGCCTGCAAGGAAGAAGGCCTTAAATTTGGAGAAGAAAGAGGGAGGAAATCTATTTCTTTTTTTTAAAATGTCTACATGCCAGACACTCTATAGGGATCAGTTGGGATAACAGATGTGAACATATTTGTAAACCTACATTGTTAGAGAAATCTAAGAGGGTAATAGTATTATTAAAGAAGGTGAGGGCATGTGCCCTTGAGCTGGACTGCTGCCACCATCACCAAACATATCTTTAGTGATCCATGGCTTGCCATCCATCCACCCATCCATCCATCCATCCATCCATCCATCATATATTCATTGTTGCCAGGCTTTGGTGCTGATAATGTCACCCACAGTAGCTAGTAGAGGGACATGCAGCCAAAGGGAATTTTTGAGGGTGACAGTTGGATGTGTTTAAATGTTAATGAGAAAGAGGCAGTTAATGGGGTGAGACTGAAGTCAGAAAAAGAGATCATTCGTGAATTTTGGTTCTCAAGGAAGGAGGGGATAAGTGTGGAAGCAAGTAAGGTGGGAGAAGGTGTAGCAAAAATTTGAAGAAGTTCCCTGCTAATGACAGCTGTTTTCTTGAGTAGGTTGCCCCATATCCTTTGGAATTTCCCCCCAAACACCCGGGATGGTGGAAGGAAGGCCAAGGCAAAGTTCATGGTAGACAGAGTGGACTATATTTGGAACAACGTGGCTATGGACAGAAAGAGAGAGAGCTTTGTTTCCATTCCAAAAAACTAAAGAGAAACTTCAGCCAGAAAGAGTGGTGGATGTTCTTTTTAGCTCTCTAACCCAAATTTCTTCTGAGGGATACACTATTAGCAAAGATACCCCGTGTCCTGTTCTGCAGAAAATAAACCAGCAGGCGTCCATTCAGAAGAGAAGCCAAATAAGTTCTTGGCAGGAACTGAGATTGTTATTGCAGAAGGAGAACGAAAAAAAAGTTAGAAATCGAACTGCTCTCTTTACTTTATCTCTATTTTAAGTGACTGCACAGAGAATTCTTCAACTAAATAAATTCCCAGCCCATATTGCATGTTGTTCCAAGGTTCCTTTGGTTTAGATTATTTTGTGCTAATGATGGTCAAGGCCTTTGCCTTTTTGATTCTCAGGGCCCTGCTGGTCTTGCTGAGTCCACTTGGACCAGGGTTCTGTGGCTTCTCAGGCAAATGCAGTGCAGATGGAGGACAGCAGATGGGAGGGCGCCACACCGCCAGAGGAGCAAGAAGACTGCCAGCTTGAATAGCTGCCCTGACGCAGAACCGGCCTTGTGACTTTAGGCAAGCGTAGGCCTGCAATCCTGAGAATTGAATGATGACCCGCTATCTGAAGTCTTTAGCTCCAGTCTCATCCCTGAGCTCCAGGACAATGCATACATTGTATATGAATACTCATGCTCTATTAACCGTAAAGGCCAGAAGAAATACAAGATGGTATTTAATGGAGGTAATAAGATCTGCTGCAGAAGACAAACTGTGTGTGTGTACATGTGTGTGTTCTGTGTGTGTATGTGTGCATATGCAAGTATAGGGGTCTATTATAGACATAAAGTCTTCCAGTTTAACTGCTGTCTCCTTGGCTTGCCACTACATGGATCGAGCCTCAAGTCGATATGGTGACTTGTAAATATACAGAAAACCCAACTGTACCAAAAAACAGCAGTATGACTTATTTTGGTCTCCTCACGTTAGCCAGCACTGCCATGAGGGCCATCGAGAGTGCACCTTGAGGACTCTCATCAACTCCAAAACCCTTCCCACGCTGTTGTTGTTAGTTGCTGTAGAGTCACTTCCGACTATGGCAAACCCACATGTGCAGAGTAGAACTGTGCTCCATAGGGTTTTCACAGCTCTGACTTCTTGGAAGCAGATCAGTAGGCCTGTCTTCTGAAGTGCCTCTGGATGGGTTCACACGGCCAACCTCTCAGCTAGCAATTGAGCACTTATCTATTTGCACCACTCGGGGACTCCTCTTTCCACACTCGGTCCCCTGAAATCCCTACCAGCAATCAACAATGGGCTCAGAAAGGTCTGGGGAACGTTTCCACTGCCTGGTCCCAGTGATAAAGCGATCGACTGTTAACCGAAAGGTTGGCAGTTCGAAACCACCAGCAGCTCACAGAGAAATATGTGGCAGTCTACTTCCATAGAGATTTACAGCCTTGGAAACCCTGTGGCTTTGCTAAGAGTTGGAATTGACTCGACGGCAGTGGGTTTAATTTGGTTTTTTGGTTTGGTCCCAGTGAAAGTTTGCAGAAGACCTCTGCGTGGTTTCAGAGAAGTCTCCTAGGGCTGCAGATCTGGTTACAGGATTCACTCATTACTGGCCTCAGTTTTGAGAATGGAGTTAAAGGACAGGGAAGTTTGGGACTCTTTTTTAGTGTATGAAGGAGGGCAGATAACCAAGTGTGACCACCATAGGGTCAAATAAAAGCCCCAAAGAAGGTGCTCCAATCTAAACCACTAATGAAAAGTCACCTAACAAACATGGATATAAATATACTGCCACAGAAATGACAAAAAATAATATCTGGGTTTAAAATTCCAGCTAAGGTTTATAGTTTGAATGTTGATAATATATTTCAGTGGGAATCCAGTGATTGGATACAGTTTATATAACAGCAATAGACAATTAGGTCTTTCAAGTCTAGAGGAAAAATTAAATCATTAATAAATTTGATTAAAAAATGAAGGTGGTCCATGGGAGCGACAAGGTGTAGAAATCTCAGGGAATGCTCTAAAAGGAGAGAACAAACAGCTACAACTAATCTCATTTACTCCACTCTTCTTTGTCTCAAACCCTGTCCCTTCCCCAACTCCTCACCTTCTCCCCAGACAGCATTATCAACCCACCGTCTCCTTTCTGCTCCCAACCTGTACCCAACCTGATTATAGTAATTCCTTAATTCATTCAAAACATCTATGAGCACCTACCATATGCCAGGCACAGAGCTGAGAAGATACAAAGGTAAGTAAGACAGAGTCTCTGCCCTCAAAGTACTCTCGGTCTACTAGGGGAGCCAGAAGAAAAAAACATTTCAACCCCGTGTGATAAGTATTTGGATGGAGGTGAACATAGAAATCCAAATCAGACTTGGGATTCAGGGAATTTGGACTTAGTCTTGAAGGGTAAAGGGGAGCTAACAGGTTTAAAGAGGGGGCTTATTGTTGCCAGGCAGAGGGAAGAACATATCCAAAGGCCCAGAAGCACCAAATAATAGGATGCATTGGGATGTAGTGTGGCTGGAGGAGAGGTTGAGTGTGGGGAGTGACCAGAGATGATAGTAGGAAAGCGGACTGGGATCAAATCATGGAGCATCTGTATGCCCAGGCACAACCTCTGGAATTAATCCTGAAAGCCACAAGGAGCCACTGAAGGATGGGAATCAGAGGAGTAACTGCTTCAAATTTCCATTTTGGAAAGCTCACTCTCAGATAATTTGGTGAATACCTTGAAAAAGATCCAAGCCTGCTAGGAGGTTATCAAAATAATTCAGGCTGAAGATGCCGGTAGACAAAACCAAAGTGGCAACAGACTTGAGAATTGTTTAATAACTAGAATTGACCAGACTACATCACTGACTGAATGTGGGTAAAGGAAAAAGAGCAAACAACAACTTTCTAGTTTGTGGCTTGGAGGACTCAGAGAGTGGTGGGATCTTTCTATGACATAAGAAAGATATGAAGAGGAGCAAAGTTGGCTGTGAAGACAATGAGTCTGATGAATAATTTGCAGGACACCCAAGTGGAGGTGTTTGGAGTCACTACTTAGGAAAGAGGACTGGCTAAGGAAATAGAGCTGGAAATCATTATTATAGCGGGAGATCCCTGGAGCAAATGGTTTGCACGCATTTGCTAACTGAAGGTTGGCGGATCAAACCCACTCAGTGGTGCCACTGAAGAAAAGCCTGTCCAGTCTGCTTCTGTAAAGATTACAGTCAAGAAAATCCCATGGAGCTCAGTTCTATTCTGTAACGTGCGGTGTTGTCATGAGTCGGAATTGACACTGTGGCATTGAGTTTGGTTATTATTATTATAGCGGAGTCCCTAGGTGGTACAAATGGTTAACGTTCTCGGCAACTAACCTAAAGGTTGGAAGTTTCAGTCCGCTCAGAGGTGCCTTGAAAGAAGGGACTGGTGATCTACTTTCAAAAAATCAGTCATTGAAAACCCTATGGAGCACAGTTCTACTCTGAAACACACAGGGTGGCCATGAGTTGGAGTCAGCTCAATGACAATCCTAACAGTGGTCAAGAGTCAGTCTCGGTGAGGGGAGTATCTAGATGGAAGAAAGCAGAGAGATGGAAGAACACTAGAGATATGACCTTATAGGGGTCATGTAATGTCTCTGGACCCCAGTCTCCTTTCATGTAGGATGGAAAGAGCAATATGCTGTTATGAGAATTCAGTAAGAACATAGATTTTTAACTCACAGCCTAAGGCTCAGTGCACAGAAGACTCTCGCTATGTGTGTTCTTTCTCTGCATCTCATATTTCACTAGGTCTGTGCTTGACATTGCTTGCTGAAGACAAATTCTATAATTTTAGTTCTTTTTACAGGTTGAAAATTTACATGGATTAAAGTAGATTAGTGAGACAGCACACAGGTGTCCTGGCTGTTTTCCAAAACGGTGTTAAGGACTGACAAATCGTTTTTTGAATTCTTCAGTTTGCATTTGCAAACTGCAAATGAATGTGGCAAAAATAAGAAAAGAAATGATGTACTTAATAATCTCATCAAATTCAGTTTACATAATAGCCCAGAGCTCAGAGGAGTATAATAACTGTTAATAGGGTTTGGATTAAAATTTTAAATTCTGACCTTCCTATCTTGTTATGCTTCAAAGTTACAGAAGAAAAGAGGCTTCAGGTATGAGCATAATAATAATCGTCATTGCTCTGCCCTTCATGAATTATGTGGATGCAGCACTTGGAGACATGTTGTTAAGGATCCATCCAGCAGAGTGGCACTTACTATTTTGCCCTATTCACACCTTGTTCCGACAACTGAGATAAAAAATGATGTTTCTGATTTTAGGGGAAAACTGAAACACACAGTCTCAGAAATTGGACAAAATCCCACTGCCAGAGACTCTGGCTGTCCTCCCCTGCTGTGTCCCCTACCTGTTCCCTTCTGTCACCAGTGGCTTCTCTGGGTGAGTGGTGGAGACCATCGGGATGGTAGCATCGGCTGAGTCCCTTTCTCCTTCGTGCAGTAGTGGGAGGGTGTCTTCTTCAGCCAATTCAGTTGACTTCTTCCTACCCCCATGATGGGACCCTTCATCAATCAGGTTCCCGAAAGTACCTGCAGAGGCAGTAGCAAGGGGAGACACGTGGGGTGTCAGCAAGAAGTATCAGGCTGTTTGGCATAAGAGGTGCAGGTTCATGTCTTCACAGGGTAGGGACATCAGATCTCAACATGAAGGTGGGAAGAGCAATGGCCAGCCCAAAGAAATAAGATTGACGATGACAATGAGCTGTCATCTACATCCATCTTATTTTCTCTTTTGTAAAAAAACTACATTACAAATCAGAAAGTACAGTCAAGTAAAAGGGAAAAAGTCAGTTGAAATCACGAAACCTAGTCATAACAATTTTTAACACTTTGGTTTATATACGTCCAAATTTTTTCATGTAGATGTTGATAGGGGATCATTGTAGATATGTCATTTTGTAATCTGCCTTTTTCTGGACCTGTAGATTTGGGATTCTGTATCAGTCCTCCAGGCATATGATTCAAGAGGGTTGGACTCCATCACTGTCTCCTACTCTGTTGAAAGAGAGCTACCTAAACGTGAACCAAGACCTTCTCTGAGGGAATGTTTTTTCTTGGAATGGTTTTCCCAGCCCAGGAAGATTACTGGGAGATCATAATAGTACCTACTATATGCCTGGCACTTTGCATGCTTTAGCTCCTTAAACCCTTGCAACAACTCTGGGAAGAGTTGTTGTTATTCCCATGTTATAGGTCAGGAAACTGAGACCCAGAGAAGTTAAATGAGCCCAAAGTCATGGAACCAGGATTAGTAATCCAAGTCTATCTGATTCCAAATCTATACTCTTTATCATTATTTTTTAAATAAAAGTATGAAAATAAAACCATCCCTTCTGTATTGACACTAGGGTGGACAAGGAATTGTTCATTCCTTTCTGACGTGCAAACTTCCACCAGAGTGCTATTGTCTTCATGTAAGACACTAATTCATTCGTTCAAGAAACAGTTACTGGGGGCCATCTAGGTCAATTGGCATAACATAGTTCATAAAGAAAATGTTCTACATCCTACTTTGGTAGTAGTGTCTGGGGTCTTAAAAGCTTGCGAGCAGCCAGCTAAGATACATCTATTGGTCCCACCGCATCCAGGGCAAAGGAGAATGAAGAAAACCAAAGATACAAGGAAAATATTAGTCCAAAGGACTAATGGACCATATGAACCACAACCTCCGACAGCCTGAGCCCAGAAGAACTAGATAGCGCCCGGCTACCACCACCAACCACTCTGACAGGGACCACAATAAAGGGTCCCAGACAGAGTGGGAGAAAAATGTAGAACAAAATTTGAATTCATAACAAAAGACCAGACTTACTGGTCTGACAGAGACTGGAGGAACACCGGAGACCCCCAGACACTCTGCTAACTCAGAACTGAAGCTACTACCGAAGTCTACCTTTCAACTGAAGATTAGACAGGCCTATAAAACAAACAATAACATATGTAAGGAACGTGCTTCTTAGTTCAATCAAGTGTACAAGACCAAATGGGCAACACTTGCCGAAAAGCAAAGATAAGAAAGCAGAAAGGGACAGGAAAATTGGATGAATGGACATGGGAAAGCAGGGGTGGAAAGGGTGAGAGTGCTAACATAATGCGGGGATTGCAATCAATGTCACCAAACAATTTGTGTATAAATCTTTGAATGAGAAACCAATTTGCACTGTAAACTTTCATCTAAAGCACAATAAAATTAAAATAAACAAGAAAAAGAAAGAAACAGTTCCTAAGGCCACTCCATGAGCAGGCACTGTGCTGGTCTGCACTTACCAATGGAAACTTCAAAGCTAATGGGTTTATCTCCAATCTTCCGGTCAATCATGGTAGCTTCAAAAAATGCTCCAAAGAGTAAAAATTCCTCACATTTTTCTGGTACAATCTATGGAAAGTAAAAAATTGTTAAGACAGGACTGGCTTTTTTCTTTCTCACCAGGTAGCTAAATTAGTGACGTTAACCTGACCAAGCTTCTAAATAATGGTCCTGGGTAGTTTCTAGGAATTTGAGTCTCAGTTTCAGCCTGAAATTGCACAATGTTTCCCAGCTAATCAGACAGGCAGGAATCAAGGCCAGCAGATTCAAGATCCAAATTCAGCCATTTATCTAGAATGTTATAGCCTCAATCTCTGAACTTCTACCTTAAAATAACCTCTCTTTTTATTTTCAAGAGTAAACTTGATGTGTGTATCTTTCTAAGATGCTCTTGGTGAAACAGAGCCTGGGATCACATTCTAATGATTAGGCATTTAGGAAACAAAAAATTGGAGATAAAATACACAGGGTCACAGGGTTAGACCCTTACATTGGAGCAGGACTCTGTGGCTTATACAGGGTAGTTATATACATTATTCTATTTGTCTCTCTTAACAAACTTGAGAAGCCAAAAGTTGGATCATATCCATTTTACAGATAAGGAAAAAGAGGAACCTGAAGCTCCATGTTGTAGAGTAGTTTTCCCAGGTATTCCCTCCACAAACTCAGTACTCTTTGAACTCTGCGTTAACTCAATGCCTTGGTACTAACCTATAGTGAAATTGTACTCCCTGAAAGAACACAAGCCAGGTAAAAGGTGGGGAGAGAGGCATTCCCATGAACATTGGCCAATCACTGTGTATCCGGGCATGTTAATGTGCATCCCTGCTGTGAGGAATGTATGATGGAATTTGAGTAGTGACTGGAGAGAAAGAGGACCAGGGTCATATGGTGAGGCATGGTGGGACATTGCCTTTTTCATTGAAAAGGGCTGTAGAGTTCATCTTCTCCAACCTCCATCTTTTATCTGATTAACGGCCAGAGACTCAAGGACTTCCCAAGGTCACATACTGTAATCCTTCAGTCTGTCTAGTCTCCCCTAGGAATGGACATCTCTGGGAGAACAGCCATCACCTCCCTTCTCCACCAAAAATTGTTGTCTGGTTGACCCGAGAAACATGCTCCCAGAAGCTGAGCTGGAACAGACCCGCCTCTGCTACTGACAAAGCATTACATTCTTTAATTTGATTAACTACAAACTACTGTCAATAAACTAAACTATTAACAGGTTATTCAGAGTTTATATTCCTCTTGGAGGTCCAGATCTCTTTCCCATAATACAGAACTAAGCTGGGGGGAAAAATGTTCATGGGCTCTATGGTATAATAAGCAAGAGTAAGCGTTCCCTTGAGTTATGATGTCCCCACAGGCTTGGAGCAGGGGAATAGGCTTCTCGGTTTCTCATGTCCCAGCTTGCCACCTACGCTTCCTCCTCCTCATCCTTCATGTCATGTAATCTCACACCCCGAGTATACTCTAAACTAGCAAAGCTAACCAAAACTAGATTCCAGATATAGTCTAGTCAGTCACTCTGCCACCCACTCCCACCGATGCCCCCTGAGCACTCTTTGTTTCTCTTTACTTTGGTTTCTATGGGAACCTGCATTTGGAGAACACCTGTGTCTGGAGAAATTTATCATGAGCAGTTGGTTGGACTGGGGTGTATGCAAGAAGGAAAACAGGGCCAGGCCAACACAAATTTTGAGAGGGAATGAGACATGTCAGGCAAACATCTTTGTGACCCATGACAGGTGCTATCTCCGCACTGGCTTCATCTCACAAGCGCTATGGAGCAGTGGCTCAGACTTACCTCTGGGGGCACATCGAAACTTTCCACCTCGACCTCAGTTGATTTAGCTTTATCTGTAGCCTGCTGGGATTTTCCATCATCGGTTTTGTCACCTTTGTCCTTACTCGTTCCTTTGGAAGATTTGGAGTCTTTGTCTTTGGAAGACAACTTGAGCTCCTTCAGGGCTTTGGAAAACTTAGACTCCTGGGGCCCTCCGGAGAGGATTTCCACAGCAATTTCTACCAGGAGTCTGCCCCTGAACGACACGCCTTCCCGAAGGCCTTCATTCAGTTCCTGGTAGTCGTCCATCAGGCTGTGGTTCCTCGGTGAGCCATACAGGTTAATCCAGGCTGGTCCGAAGGTAGGTAGAAAGCCTAGGAAGACCCCAAGCTTTCATTACATGGTTATGTTTTTAAGTTTTTTGTTTTGTTTTGTTTTTTCTTTATGGAAGCTGCGCGCATTCATTTTAAAAAACACAGACTGTACATAAGATATAAAAGAAAATATTTACAGAACAGTCCATCACCAAAAGACAGCCACTATTGCCACTTTAGGAGCCCTGGTGGTGCAGTGGTTAAAAGCACTCGGCTGCTAACCAAAACGTTAAGGGTTTGAATCCACCAGCCACTCTATGGGAGAAAGTTGTGGCAGTCTGCTTCCATAAAGATTATGGCCTTGGAAACCCTATGGGGCAGCTCTATTCTGTCCTACAGGGTTGCTATAAGTCAGAATCGACTCAATGGCAATGAGTATTGCCATTTTGCTATATTTCCTTCTTGTCTTTTTCTATGCACGTGTTTGCGCTTGTTCACAGTGGTAATAATACTATAAATGTCCGTGTACATCCTTTTCTGCTCATTCTTTCACCCAATGTTTATTGACTCCAATGTGTCAGGCATCACACTAGACGCTAAATGCAGAGTTCAGTGGAGAACAAAACAGATATAAACATTAACTTATTAATGTTCTCCATCTACCTGACCTGGTGGATGAGCTGGGCCTCTCCATTCCCTTCCAAGGCTCCTGAGTGCCCTCAGCAGCACCCCTCTGTTGTGCTCATGATCTTGGGCACCCATCAGTGAGTTGGGGGCACAACACTTTTTGGACTATCTAAACTTGTAAATAATCATTTTTAGCTTGTGGGCCATACAAAAGTAGGTGGCAGGCTGAATTGGCTCATGAACTGCAGTTTGCCAACCCTTGACCTAACCTAAACTCCTCATCTTCAATGAGAACACCTGAGGTGCAGGGAGAGGGAGTGGCTTCCTCAGGTCACACAAAGAAGTTGCTGGAAGATCCGGGGCCAGACCCAAACCTCCTGGATCCAGAGCTCGGCTCGTTCACTGTCCTGAACCAGCCAAACCACTGACAGCACGTAAACACGGGAGGTGCCTAATACCTTGCCTGCTCCAACCCGAAATCAATCATTTCAAGTCAGACACACATGACTTCACCTTTATCTCCATCCTGTTCATTGGAGATCTTCTTCAAGTCGATGAAATGGGTGGCCAGCATCACGTTGTTCATGCTGCCTTCATCCCACACCTGGATTTTCACCCTCCGACACAAGGGAGGGAACATTTCCTTGAAGATCACCTGTTCGTGCCACATAGGGTTGGCACAGTTCTTCTGCACTGTGGTTCGCCCCTAAACACAAAGCCAGGAAGATGTGAGCCGTGGAAGGAAGCTGTGGAAAAGCTTCCTTGACTGACTAAAGAAAACTCTCCACCCAGCTGGAAATGTCAAGTGAGTTGCCAAAATAATGAAACTGCTTCCACTTGACACCTGTGAAAATCATTTATACCCAATAAACATTACTACCAGAAGGATTGACACAGTGGCTGCAATCATAGCAAACATAGCAATGATTGTGAGGATGGCGCAGGACTGGGCACCATTTTGTTCTGTTATACATCAGGTTGCTATGAGTTGGAGGCAACTCAGAGACACCTAACAGCAGCTGTGCTGGACACGCTGCCAGGTGTCTGGGACACAGGTGAGTAAGACACTTCCCTGCCCTCAGGATTCTCATCAGGGTAAGGGGTTGGGGTGAAACAAACACCTGTGCTTTGAACAGGAGTTGTTCCATACATCTCCAGGAATGCAGAGAATATCATTAGACCCTTAGTTTGTGTTTTATGAAAAGTATGACCTCGTGAGGGTCACTTTCCCAGTCTCGATCTCAGTTTCCTCATGATAAAGTAAAGGTGATGTCCCATATGACCTCCAAGGCCCTCCCAAGTCAAAAACACCACAGTGTTTACCTCTGCCCAGGGGAGGGGGCCAGGTAGGCACATATTCTGAGGGCAGAGACGACATGAGTGTCCTCTGAAGCTTCTAAGTCTGGCCAGCAAGGATTAAGCTGTTGCTGTGTACCCAGGCCCTAATACTTCCAATGGCTCTTGAGCAGGAAAGCAGAGGGAGCAGAGACTTCCAGGTTTATGTGGAACGAGGACCACTGGGTAGACTATGGAGCAGATTGGGAGAGAGGCTATAATTCTACAGGGCCTGAGGACTGGGTAGTGTCTCAGAGAAGTAGCCAGAAGTGAGGGAGGAGGCCTGTCTGTCTGGGTTCCTAAACATTGACCCATGCCCAATTCCTCTCCCTTGTCTTGAATAAAGAAAGAATGGGTAACCCTCCCTTATTTGCCTCCCCACCTGACTCGTTGCCTTTCTATATGAACTGTTATGGTTTCTCTTTCAAGGCACTTGCTATTTTTTTATTGTAACAACATTATTTGAATAAAAATGTCCTTGGTAAAGGGCAGGACTCTGGCACTGACCTGCCGGTATCAGTGACAAAGGCGACAAATGATTCCTTACCGTCTGTCCAGCGAAGGAGACCTCCACGAAGGGATCCAAGAGGTCCTTACCGTCACCCACAAATGCTTTGGTGACATTTGCCATTATGCTGGAGTTCATCTTTGGCAACCCTTCTGCTTTGTAGAGTCTCACGGAGAATCTGGCCCAGGGTCTCTCTGATGGAAACCCTTGGGGAATCAAAAGGTTCCTTAGAGGGAAACAAAAATAAAAAATAAAAAAGCTCTACCTTTGAAAGAATAGAGAGCAAAAGTAGACACAATTTGGAGGCTGAAAGGAAGATTCTGATATATGAGAAAAGTCAGAATAGATTAGGGTTCATCGCTGAAAGGGGTTTTTCTTCCTACCGTAAATGGCTATGAAGGGGATGAACAGAGTAAATACAAACTTATTCAAGTCCTGGGATTCAAGAATCGATACTGTCTACCACTCCATAGCTTTAAGACTTCCCATTTCACAAACCAGAGGTTGAAATTATAATTCCTTCAAAAAGAAATCAGCGAGGCTCCAGAATAGCTTATGTACAATGGCTATTGTAGGAAAACAGACTGTTCTTATTCTAGAAGCTGGCCTTTGACAAGTCATGTCTTGGTGCCCCTGATAGAGCAGAACCCCAGGTGGACAAGCCATGAACTTGGCAGTTCTTATGTACCCGTAAGGAAAGGGGTCGAGGGAGGGGAAAGAGACACTACAGTTGGGGCACGGTGTTTCTCCCGCAGGGCCCTGGATGGACCTGTCTCACTTTTCTATTTGCTCCTCGGCGTCAGAGATTTTGGGGTTGGTCTTCAAGACATCGCCTTTCCCAGTCACGCTGATGTCACACTTCAGGTACCCCTTGGTGCCAGTCCTGATGTCACCAGGGTCCGTGAGCAGGGCCCACTTGTCACAGAACTGATGACCTGTGAAAATGCCCTGACAGCTCAGATTTCCCGCCCAGATGGACCCAGCAGCTCCACCCATTTCTCTCCCAGCCCAAGGCCTCCCATGTGCTCTTTTCCCTCTGTGGTTTCAGGCAGTGGCTCTTTTCAGTTATTTCCAAGTCTCATACCTGCCTCCCTCTCTTCCTTTCCTTTTGCTCCCACCCTGTTCTCTTTCTTTTTCCCCAACCTGCCCGAAGTATTTGAGAAGCCTTCAATCTAGTGGAAAGCATCTATGCAGGAGTCTAGCTCTGACTGGATACCAGTTGCTGTCGAGTCAACTCCAATTCATGGTGACCCCATTGTGTCAGAGTAGAACTGTGCTCCATAGCATTTTCAATGGCTGATTTTTCAGAAGTAGATTTCCAGGACTTTCTTCTGAGACACCTCTGGGGTGGACTTGAACCACCAACCTTTCAATTAACAGCTGAGCACGTTAACCGTTTTTACCATCCAGGGATGGGAGAATATTAATGGAGTGTGGAAGTCATATATTATTTGCCCATGGGCCATAAATGTGGCTCATGGATATTTTTGTTCGACCTAAACTGTGCTTCAAAATTTCAAAGTTTCTTAGAAAATCTAGACTTCTATCTTATCTAAAAGATAAAAAAGGAAAGATCTGGCAATGCTGGGTTCACATTTCCACTGCCCGTTTCCTATGCGTCTTGAGAGTTCCTGTTCCCTACAGGCTCCATCACTCCTCACTGTATTATACCCAGCCCGTTGTGCTCAGTCAGAACCACTGCCCGGCCCCCATGGTCATGTGCATTGGGAATCACTGTCGAAGAGAATGGGCTCTTGACCTTAGACAAATTCTCTGAGTTTCAGTTTCCTATAAATCAGGGATAATAGTAATTATTACAGCAAACACTTACATGGTGTGCTGTAGTCATTATTACGTGCTAGGTTGTGTAAGCACTTTATGTATATTTATTAACTTAATCTTCCAACAACCCTGTAAAGTAGATATGATATTACCCCCATTTTTACAGGTGAAGAAACCAAGGTGCACAGAAGTTCAGTCATTTGCTCAAAGTCACACAGCTAGCAAATAACACAACAGAATTTGAACATGGGCAATTTGACTCCAGAGTCAGTATTCTTAACTGCTATGCTTTATTGCGTCTTCTGCCCTTGATGTCTCACAATGCTAAATAAGAAAGAATTTGTGAAAAAGACAAACTGCTCAGAAGTATGGACATATGAAATAATTTTAATATTAGATTGTAAACTCTTGAAAGCAAGAGCCATGTCTTGCTGAGCTTCGTATAGTTGGTGCTCAATGATATTGAATGAATGGTCAAATGGATGAATGAATGAATGAATGAATGCGAGACTTCCAGGTGTGGTAAAACCAAGAAAAGTAGGAGATAGAGTTATAGAGATTGGAAAGTGATGCTTTCTTACCAGGTTGGTTGTACACAGTCCCCAGGTCTACTTTGAAGGAGCCAATCAGAATGCTTCCTATCAGCTTGTGGTGAAAGACCTGAGGAGAGGTGGAGCAGTGAGTCCCAGCAACACTACATTTGTCTTTGAGGATGAGTCTGTGAAATGGGCTCATGGTTCTGCAAAGAGGGTTCTAGGCCTTGGAACCTCATCTGGCCTTCACTCTCTTCTGGGGCATAATGAAATTTGATCATCAAACTTCAGGGTTGTCAAGGCCTCCAGGAAGATTTTGCCTGTACCTCTTCCTCCTAGTAGGTTTTCAGCTAACCTGGTATTGAAAAATATCTAATAACTCTCACTGCCTGAAAGTTTTCTTTAACCAAAATGAACCCTAGTGTAGCTTGCCCTTCAACATCCACCTCTGCCTGTGGAAACTCTACCCATCCTTCAATGCCCAGAGCAAATGTCACCTCCTCCAAGTAGCCCTCCCTGACTTCCACAGCTGGAATTGATCCCTTTCTCTTGATCCCCCACAGCACTTTGCTCACAACTTTCTTAGAAACTTCATCACACTTTGACTTGGGAAGGTTTGGATGTGTACAATATTCAGAAGAAGGGAAGTGGTCACCCTCAATATTCTGTCTGATCAGAAGTCAGCAGAATTAGTTACACAGCAGCACATTTTAATGCTAATGCAATCAAGACGAGAAAGGCTTAAAGGAAGGTGGCAGAGCTGGTGCCATGTCTGGAAGTCAAAATGTATGAGAAACTGCTAAAGAACCAAGAGTAGTTTAACCTTTAACCCAGAAAAGAGAAAACTGGGGTGTGTGGAAAAAGGGAAATGGTAACTTAAATGTCTTCAAATCTTGGAAATGCTGCCTAGAAGAGGGAGTAAGTTCCCCTGTGTAATTCCCAAGTTATAGGAAGACACGTTTCATATCAACATAAGGACAATTTTCCTAAGAATTAGAACTTCCCGGCAATGGAATGAGCTTTCCTGTAGGTACTGAGCTCCCCAACACTGGAACTAATCAAGTAGTATTCCAAGAATCTCTTATCATGGAAGTGGTAGAAAGGGATTCCTACACAAGTGGGCAGTTAGACTAGATGGTCTTTGAGCTTACTTCTAACTATAAAATGCTGAGTTTTTGGAATCAAAGACAGTTTCCTACTGTCTTCTACCCACCACATGGCCTTGTTTATAACGGATGCTCAAAAAACAGTCAGTGAATTAATGAATGATTGACTAGTTGAATGGTGGATGAATGGCAGGCTTTTGTGGCTTCTAAACAACTCCCTGGGAAAGAGACAATATGAAACAATAAATTCAACTGACTTCAAGAAAAAACAGTCCTTCCCATCTCCTTTTCCACCCTCTGTCCCTTGACCAATCTGTCCAAGGGTGTTAGAGAGCCGAGCAGAAGTCAAGACAGCCTAGCTTGAGTAAAGGAGCCACTTAAGACCTCTAAAATACACATGCTCACTCTGAAATCCCCCATGCTTGCAGCTGCTAATGTGGCTTCTCAAAGCCTGAGCAAGAACAGAAGCTTGTCTCAAGCTCTGCTCTCGGGTCAATGGCACCTGGCTCCCTGTGGGCAAATTGAGATAGAAGAGCCCAAATGAATCTTCAAATAACACAGAGGTCTCCTCAAATCGTCCACCAAGTGGTCAAGTGCCAGGCAACCCTAGTGTGGTCAAGCACTAGATCATAGGGAGTCTGGGAATGCCTCACAACAGAATGCTGGGGGCCCTGCATGCCTTGGGCCACGGCCAAGAGTAGATGGTCTTTGGCACCACCGGTGTCTGCTACAGCCTGGCTGTCCCAATAACGTCTCCTTACAGCACTGTCCCTCTTCTTCCCCCACAATGAATTTATTCTCAGCATGCTGACCTGGAGTTCATGAACCAGCAGAAAAATGGTACCAAATGCCTCCCTCTCAGGGGAGTTTTCTTTGAAATCATTGGTCTCTGTTCCTAAGAATCATTTAGGGACACTAGAGTATTGTCTTCTCCTAAGTTAGAGGAACAGAGATAGGAAATACAGTTTTGATCCTCTGCCTACAGAGACTCATGACCCTTTTCTAGGACACAGTATAAAAATCTAGTTATTAACTGTTCATCGAAAATCTAGATAGTCCCTTAGAAGCCTGCTGTAAAGCCAGTCTCACAAACAGGTGGTTGCCTGAGTGAAGTAACTTAACAAAGTCCTGGGCAGCACCCCAGGTCCCAAAATATCTTCTGCACCACTTGTCATCATGTCTGAAATTCAAACATTAAGAATGTTTGGCTCCTGATGACTTTTCAGTCGTCAAGAGTCACATTCTTCAAGTGCCACTGGGAAGGGCAATATACTAAGTCCACTATTACCTAAGCCTTACTGCAAGAATTTGTTGACAGCCAGCTGTGGTTAAAGGGCACCTATAAAGGAGATTGAGCGGGAGATAAAGACGGAGAAGGGACATTCCAAGATCAGGTTTTTGCAATTCTGATTAGAGTTGATCTTTCTGTTGACAAAACCATTTTCTCATTGTCTATATGTCTTACATTGGCACATAAAGTAGGAATTCTGTCTTTTCAGAATTCTTTGGAAGAGATCACTTACCCTTTGACCACACCCTCACACCTGCCACTCTCAAACATACACCCTGGAAGCCCTCTCCATGTGAGAAGCCATGATTTAGCAGACTGGTAAGATAGATGCCATCTGCTGTACCTTTATTGAGTGGTATTAAGTTGGTGGTGATCTCATTCAGCTTGCTCTTATCTCTCTTTTGGACTAATATTGCTTTGACATGGGCATTTCTGTTTTCCATGAGGTGGGCACACCTGGATAAGGCACCTGGCTAGACCAGGAAGCTCTTTCTGTCTCCATTCTCCAGATTTGATCCGTGGGAGGCAGTAATTCCCTGGCAGGGTTGGGGAAGGTTCTATCAAGAGACCCAACTGCCTGTGAGTAGGTCCTAAGGTCTACATTCAGAGGTAACTATTAAGAAGTCCAGTGGCCACTGCTTGCTCCAAATTACATTCTCTAACCTAGCGTTACCATTGATGAAACTGAGCTATTTGGCTGCTTTTCGATTCTTGTTTCTATTTCTCTATTTGTTACCAACTGGGAGGGAAATGGGTGTGATTAATTACCAAAAGTGTGGATACCACTCCAAGAGAGAAACATTAACGTTTACTTGATGAATGAAGGAAATAAACTGAAAATGGCAACCCATTAAGATGTCATTTGAAGCATATGTTTCACACTCACACATTAGTAAGCTACACAATTCAATTCATAATAGCTTTATCGTAGATTACAAGAAGCATAGATTTTTCTTAAAATGACTTTTCTTCCTGAACTCCTCTATACTGGTTATTTCAAGTTCTCATCTATTGGTTTCAGACTCACCAACCTACACTCACCCTCCTCAATCTTTTCATCTCTAAGCATGCTGAGCTGTTCTAGAGAGTTCCCAATGCCTAGAATCCCTTCCACATTTCTTTACCCACCCCCAATGGTATACTTACAGAGATTTTGATGATCTTGTCAAAAAGATGCAGTTGGGGCCCAATGAAGTCGAAGACAAAGTTCTGTAAAACATAAACTTCATTCTGACCATCAACTCCAGGCTTACATCTAAGCCCCCTATTCCTGGAGTGAGTTTAGATCCGCATCCTTCTTACTCACAGCTGCCTGGTACTCAATGGCATGAATATACCATCAGTTGATTGACCATCCCTGGTGAAAGTCAATTAAGTTGTTTTCTTTTTTTTTAAAGTAAGAAAAAAATGCCACCATCCACATGCTTGGACAGGATATGTGTACGTATTCCTCTGAGAAATGGAGTTGTTCATGGGCACATAGATTTTTAATAGATAGTATGAAATTTCATTCCAAAGATCTAAACCATTTTACATTCCCACTAGCTGCATATGAAAATAGCCATCTCTCCATACCTTTGCCAACCCTTGATATTGTCACTTCTTTTAATTTTTTTTGTCTGTAATGATGGGGGAAAATGGTGCTCAGTGTGGTTTTAATTCAGTGAGAACTTGATAAAGACTTAATTTTCTCAGAATTTTTCAGTTTCAAACATCCCTGTGAAAATGCCAATATTGACTAGGTAGAGAATGAAAAGAACTTATGGACATGGGAGATTTCTAGGATTAAGAAAGTCACTGAATTTTAGAATTGAAGAAATTTTCTAGACCGGCCCCTGTATTTCACAGATGAGAAGACCAAAGAATTTAAAAGACGTGCCAAGGGTCATTAAACAGTTAATGCTAGGCCTGGGACCAAACTCTCATTCTGCTGAAGTTACCACACGATGGGTTCAAATATTAGATAGTACACCATCTGACCTTGAAGTCTAGTGCCTTCCAGATGTGAGGTTGTATGATTCTAAGATGCAGAAAACTAGAGTGGTATTTTGTTATGGGTTGCGTGTTTTGGGAATTGTCTTAGTTATCTAGTGCTGCTCTGACAGAAATACCACAAGTGGGTGGCTTTAACAAATACAAATTTATTTTCTCACAGCGTAGGAGGCTAAAACTCTGAACTCAGGGTGCCAGCTGTAAGGGAAGTCTTTCTCTGTGGGCTCAGAGGAAGGTCCTTGTCTCTTTGAGCGTCTGCTCCTGGGTAATCTTCACGTGGCTTGTCATCTCTCTTCTCCCATCTCTGCTTCTCTTCCTTGCTTATTTAATCTCTTTTATGCCTCAGAAGAGATTGACTACACCCTAATCCTGCCTCAGTAACATAATAAACATAACCTAATCCTCACTGACATAATCTAATCCTACCTCATTAACACAACAAACGCAACCCATTCACAAATGGGATTATAAACACAGGCAGAGGTTAGGATTTACAACACATATTTTGGGGGGATACAATTTAATCCATAATGGGAACTGACTGAAGTGGAGTGAGGGGAAGGCCGGACCAGGAAGTTGTTTTTACCGGCTTATTTATTTTGTTTTTGAACAGCCAGGTGGAGGAATGACATGGCGGTAGAGATGAGCACAGTGACAGTAGGAAAGGGAGAAGTGACAGCTAACAGTCTGCTTTCAAAAGGCAAAAGAGGAAAACCAAAATGTGGAAACAGAAAGATATCATCATATACTGTAATAAGAGATCTACAAAATGGGGGTCCTTAGATACCAAGGAAAGGGGACATAATGTTCAGTGTCCTCTGTTTAAGAAAATAGGAAATATGTACAACAAACATTTCAGGAAATTTTTCCTTATGTATGTTCAAACTTTTTAAAGTTTTGGTGTTCAAAGGGTCTTTTATTCTTTTATGGAAAATTCACTCACATGAAGTTCTTTATTCTCTGATAAGGCTATGCATATGAGATGACCTGGTAGTGTAGTGGATAAAAGTTACGGCTGCTAACCAAAAGGTCGGCAGTTCAAATCCACCAGGCCCTCCTTAGAAACCCTATGGGGCAGTTCTACTCTGTCCTATTGGGTCACTATGAGTCGGAATCAACTTGACAGAAATGGGTTTTGTTTTGTTTTGTTTTTTTAATAGGGTCCATTGGACTGGTAAATCAGTTCAAGTATTTGTGTTTATGGCCTTCTCTTGAGATTTGTGGAGACTGGTGGCACAGTGGTTAAGAGCTCAGCTGCTAACCAAAACGTTGGCAGTCTGAATCCACCAGTCACTCCTTGGAAACCCTGTGGGGCAGTTCTAGTCTGTCCTATATGATCGCTTTGTGTCGGAATCAACTCGAGGGCAATGGGTTTGGTTTTTGCTTTTTACTGAGATTCATGTGTTTTAAATCCATCTGTCTCCCACAGGCTCCCCAGACCTCTGGACCCACACACATTTTCCTAACTGGCAAATAACCCTCCAGACCCTTGTAACTGATGCCTTCAACATCTGATGGTCTTTGAGCTTAAAAATTAGGGAGAAAGGCTGTAACAAAGGTTTTCAGTTCAATTTCTATTTTTTTACTTGACTTCTTACTCATTTCACTTGGGCCCAATTTCATGTCATTTATATCTAGGTCTTGTATGCCTATAGTAAACACTAATTATAATAATTAACAAATCTGTGGGGCTTTGCCGTTTTAAAGCGTTTTTACATATATTATCTCATTTGGTCCTTCTCCATGCCAAAAGATGTTTTGAGGGGAGAAGTGGGGAGTGAAATGGGCAGGGAAAAACTCCTGCCACTTTGTTGTCATTGTTAGTCGCTGTGGAGTCGATTCCGACTCAGGCGACCTACCACTTTCACTCATGGTAAAAGGCTCAGAGACAGGAGTGACAAAGAGAAAAGGAGTTTGGAGCTCAAACGGGATTGGGGTATCATCTATTGGTTTCATTATCCCTGCTCTCCCTGCCTTCTTTTTCAATCACCACTCTCATTAGGAAAATAATTAAGAGTTTTCTGCCTTTTTTTTTTTTTTTTTGGATAATTCATAGTGCCTATGGGGAAACAGCACTGTTGGGTACTGTTAATGTGAATATAAACCTTTACCTCTTTATGGGGCATTTTGTGGTATTTATCAGTACTTCAAATGCATATATCCTTTGCCCTAGTTGTATCATATAAATATTATTATACATAGTAGCAAAAGCCTGAAAAAAATTTTATATCCATCAATGAGAGACTGACTGGTTTAGTAAATTAGGGTACATCAATGCAATAGAAAGCTCTCCAACCATGAGGAAAAAAATGAGATTGATCTGTACGTCCCGATATGGATTAATCTCCAGGATACACTGTTTTGTGAAAAGAGCCAAGTCCAGAAGGATGCGTATAAAATGCTACCATTTGGGTACAGTATATACTTGTATCCTTGTACATGCTTGTAATACTTCTGGAAGGATACACACACATCTGGTGAGGTGGGTGCCTCTGGGGAGGAGGACAAGGGGAATAGAGATCAGAGATAGAAGGGAGACATAGTTTTCTTTATATATCCTTTTGTACTCTTTGCATCTCTTACCATGCTTTTATTATTTTTTTAACTATGTAGTATTTTGATTTAAAAAAAAAGACAACTTAGTGTGTTTGATATTTGGAAGCTTTGTGTCTCTCTCTCATGCTTTTTCTGACAATTTCTACACAGCTTATTAAAAACACAACTGTTTTACTTTCCAACCCAGTCTACCTATTTCAAAATTAATGATTAACTTTCCAGTCCCTCTTCCACAAAGAAGAATATGTATCTTCTCACTAACCCACATTCAGTTTAGTCACTTTTTTAAGACAAGATCCACAGTGAATGAATTTGGGCTTATAAGAAACCAGAAAATGGATCTATTAAAACAAAGCAATGAATTTAAAATCAGGAGAAATTCCTTGCCTTGCCTTTCCATTATCTTTTTGATAAACTCAATGGGCTGTGTTTATAAGGAGATTCAGACAGTTTGCTGTAAGCTTGGAAGAGTGGCTGGGAAGCAGTGAGGAGGGGCACAACTTTTCTATTTGGCTGAAGAATATACTGCAGAAGGGCAGTGAGTAGAATGTTGGTGAAGAGGATGTTGGTGATCTCCATGACTTACTTCATTGTAAAATGGACTGTTGGTTCCTTCCTTCACTGTGCTTTGCTTCTTCTCATCCCCGATCTCAATGATCACAATTGGGTCAATGTTCTCACCCACCAGCTGGCGGGCCTCAATGATGGTGATGGCAATCTGTAACACAAATCAGTGTCTTCGATGTCCCGGAAGTCACTGCTCATTCACTCAAGAAATGAGGGAGGCAGGGGCAGGAAGAGTCAGCCACTTACTTGATAATTTTGGGATTTGACCTCCCCATCATGGATCTTAGTCACCAGTTTTGATCTATTAAAAGAAAGTTTAATATATTTATTTAACTAAGTAAGAGTATACTTTAGATCCATACGTTGTCGTTGTGTGCCCTCAAACTGATTCCAACTCATAGCAGCCCCACGTGACAGAGTGGAACTGCCCCATAGGGTTTTCTTGGCTCTAATCTTTACAGTAGCAGATCACCAAGTCTTTCTCCTACAGATCCGCTGGGTCGGTTCAAACCACCAACCTATCGGTTAGCAGCTGAGCACTTAACCATTGCGCCACCAGGGCTCCTTTAGATCTGTACACCATGAAAATATTTTCCCGAATATTCCCAAGTGCTCTCATTTATATCATATCACATATTGTCTTTACATCTCTGGTGGAGACAAGTGTAAATAAACGGACAGGTGACTTAACCGCTCTGTGCCTCAGTTTCCCCACCATAAAAATGGTACTGATAATACACCTACCACATTAGGTGATTGCTAGAATTAAATAATATCATGCATGTAGAAGTTTAACTCAGTGGCTGGCAAGAGTAAATGTTAGCTCTTATTATAAGTATGACTATAAGTGTTTTTTTTTTTTTATTTTATAGATGGAGAATCAAAGATAGCTCAGCAAGTCAGTGGCAGAGCTGCGTCTAAATAAGGATCTCCCAGTCTCCTGTCTGATCCTTTCCACAGGACCACTGTATCATTTCAATTCGAAATTTCATGATTGCTTTTGAAAGAACTGGTAAAGGAGAAAATTGGGAGGAATGACCAAGACGCCATCTCAATGAGATTTCACATTTCAAGGGATTTCATTTATCTGGGCTGCCACAGGTAATTGAAAACAGATGTGCAAAACCTGGGCATTTAGAGATTGGATAATAATATAAAGAGATGAAGAATCCCTGTTGTCGCAGAAGCAGCAATGGGTGGAAATGAACTGAGCTTGATTTCCTATTGAATTTTGTTCTCTGGACTTCCAGCAATACCATCTCACATTTGACTTCATTCTATTTCATCTGATTATAATTGAGTCCAGTAGAGAATAAACTAGTAAAAATCTCAAGCCTTTGGAGTCAGACTGATCTGAGTTAGAGTATTTGTTCTTCCAAGTGGTATGACTCTGGGAAAGTTATTTAGCCTTTATTTCCTCTTCTGAAAGTGGAAATAATAATTCCTACTTCATAGGGTTACTCTGAAGATTAAGGGAAATAATGCATGTAGGAAAGTGTAGATGTCATTGAATCTATTCATCAATAAAATAGCAAATTCATATTGGTTATTTACTATTGAGAGCTCTGTGCCAGGCTTGGCTAGGGGAAAAACAAAGATGAATGATCTTGACCCTTGCAAACTATCTAGGTGAGAAAGGACCAGAGCATCTGAAGAGAGAACTAGTATGTAAGTGTAAAGCATGCAATAGGAAAAATGTGATAGGAGTTCAAATGAGAGAGAAACTCCTGAGGGTTAGATTAATCAACAAAGACTTCACTGCAGAGGTTGGCTTTGAACTGAGCATTGGTGGGTGGGTAGAATCTTAATTGATAGAGAATGGACGAACCAAGGAGACAGAAAAAGCCTATTATTCCTGACTTCTCTTTCTCTTGCCTTCCTCCGCCTGAGGCTGTTATCCTGGTGAAATAAATGGCAAGGGATGCATTGAAGGATATTAAATCCCTACTCAGGGGCTGGGGGTGGGGGGTGGTTATCATGGGGCATCCCAGAAGGAAGGAGGTATGGAGGTAAATATGTGCATATAAGTCTTCTCTGAAGTACTGACCACTGAGATATCACCTTGTTTAACTTCCGCCTACTTTCCCACTCCCCTCTGCCCCCCACACACATACACTGCCAACCTGTCATAGCCCAGAAACAACAACTCAGGATCTGCCACATAGAAAAGCATTAATTTGCTTTATTAACAGCAATAACTCTGGGTAGAAAAAGAAGGGAAGAGCATGAGGGATTATCATGAGTAAGAAATTGACATAAACAAATATGGTAGACTGATAGCATTGATAGCCCCAATTATTGGCATCTCTGGACCCATGCTCTTTGCCCTGTAACTTTATAGTCCCCTCCCACTCTGATGTGGACTGGCTTTGTGACTTGGGTTGGCCAGTAGAATGCAGCAAAATGACTTGCCATTTCTGAACCTAGACCTCAAGAGGCCTTGTGTTCTTCCATACTCTCGGTTAGAATCCTGTCATTGCCACCATTGGAACAAGATCAGGCCAGTCTGCTGGAGGATCTCAACTCATGAGAAGGGGATTCCAGTGGTTTTAGCTGAAGCAATCCTAGACTACAGCCAGTGGACCCTCAAACCAAAATCAGCGAAGCTGCCAATCTAACCCATAGCTGACCATAGACACATGAATGATGAGTCTGCGACTAGCTGGGCCCAGTAAAGCTATCAACAGACTCATGAGCAATACCACATATTCTCTCTACTTCATATGGGGGAGATTTGTTACACATCAGTAGCTAACTGATACAACAAATTGTATGCAGAAGGCCAGTTTGTTTTGACCTCTTGTTGGGTAGTATAGAAACCACCTTTTCCTTTGGTACAAACACAAAGTTAGGACAACTGAAAAAAAAACCAAGCCCATTGCCGTCAAGTCAATTCCAGCTCATAACAACCCTACAGGACAGAGTAGAACTGCCCCCTAGAGTTTCCAAGGAGCACCTGGTGTATTCAAACTACTGACCTTTTGGTTAGCAGCCGTAGCTCTTAACCACTATGCCACCAGGGTTTCCTAGGACAACTAGCACCTTGATAAAACTTTTTAAAGAGTAACAGGTAAGTGGCAGCTCCTGAATCTGTCTCCTGCTGCTGCTGTTTATGACAGATTTAAGTCCAGAAGTGGTAGAGCCAGGACCCTGACCTGTTGAAGACTAACCAGTACCAAGAGTTCACTGTCATGGAAAAAACTGAGCTGACACAGAACTCTCTTCCTGCCATAGACCTTCAGCTTCTTGAGGACAATGACTAGGTCTTATTCTCCTCTTTTCTCCCCGAGCCTGGAGAGGTACTTGACACATAGGAGGTGCTCAGTAAATGTTGCTTGACTGTGTGCATCCAGCACTGACCTTCTTGTCAGAGGCACTGAGGGGGCAGGAGTGGTAGAAGCATTATTACTGATCCAATCTTCTCCCGAACCTTCCTGGTGGGAAGGCCCCTCCTGGGGTGCTTCTGCTTTACCTTGACCATCTAGAAAAGCAAACAAAGAAAGACAACTCTGTTAAATAGGAAAACAGGGCAATCTGAGCAGCCACTCTGTGTCCAGCATTATGTCGCACATCATAAGGGGTAAAAGAGAGTGTAAGACAGCCCCCATTTTCATGAAAAGTAACATCTTATTGAGATGAAAGCCAGATTCATACCTTAATTTTTCTAAAAACTAATGCATCTTCTATCTGTTTGCAAAAAACAGATGGGGCAGATTTATATGCATGGTGTTGTGGAAAGGAAATTGAATTACGAGTTTAAGGACATGCTTTCTAGCCATGACCTTGACACTTCCTAGAAATGGAACATTAGACAAGTAAGTTGTTCTCCCTGAGCCTCCCAGGTGATGCCGTGGCCGCTGGACTGAGGACCAATTTTGAGCAGCAGTGGTTTAGAAAATTGAAAAGGATAGTCAACATTCTTGAGATGCCCTTTCCGTAACAAGGAGTTCTGATTTAATTGATCTTGGATGTTGCCTGGATGTGAAGATTTTTAAAGCCTCCAAGTAATTTTAACGTGCAGCAAAGCTTGAGAACCATTTCTCAGCCTCTACTAGGACAGAGAGCAGGTTGGGAAGGACGAAGAATAGATATGGAGGTGCAGATGCAAGAGTTCTACAGACGTCTGTCTGCTTCACAAGGGTAGGGACACTAATGTCCACCATCCTATACCCAGAACGTAGCACAGAGTTTGACACCTAGCAGATGTCCCATTAATATTTGTTGAATAAATGAATGATCATGGGAGGTACCTAATAACTATTTGTTGGGAAACTATTTAATGCAAGGGCAGATGACCTAGTGAGCAAGGGTTTCACCTGTGAAATTGTTCACTACAGACAAGTAAGTAAGCACACTTGTGTAAGTAAGCTTACTTGTGCTTACTGGGTAATCCATCCCTGTCAGGGATTGTAAATTTGAAAAGAGGCTTTGATGCTGTAGGAAGGTGCTGTGGGATTGGGAGAGAGACACACGCCAGCCATACCTAGAAAGAGAATCTTTGATGTGGTAAAAAAATTGTTCACCATAGATGATCTGGTAAGCTTACTTGCCTACTGAGTAATCTGCCCCTGATTTAAAGCATGGGTTGAAAGTAATTGGAATTTTAAGAAATTAAGGCACAGCCACTATTCCTCAAAATACACAGATAAAAGAGTCAGAGACTTTGAGAATCTCCCAACACTTCACCCAGAAAAGCCCAAAGTTCCCAGGTCAAGCTAAGAAGGAAAGACCAAAGTTCTATCGACTTTGATTTGTCTATCTCCTACCGGGCTATCAGGCCGGCAGGATAGATGCTATTTACTTTCCAGGAGGGCCCTGTTTCCTCCCTGCCCTGTTTGCTTTGTGGGCTGAAGACTCTAATTAGAAGGAACCACAGGAGCCAGCTTCGTCACAAGCTCTCTCAGCAACTCTGAAAATGCCTGTGATTGACTACCCTCCATGTCCGCCCCCTCGTTCCTTCCTCCCCTGCACGGTCAGTAATGGCTCCTTACTGGAGGTTGCCTTGGGGTAGGAAAGTCCAGGCTTTGGTGTAGACTGACCTGGACTCAGGAGCCAGCTTCTCTACATAATAACTGTGTGACTTTGGGCAAGTCACTCACCCTGTCTGAACCTCTCTGTTGTAAAGTTGGGGCATTTCAGAGTTGGGAATAATGTATGTCATGTAGAACGCAGCAGGGTCTTGTTAAATGTGTCATAAATATTACTATTTTTTATAATATCCTTAAGGGAAGGGAATGTATCTAATCAACCCTGTGTCTCCAGGACTTACTACAGTGCCATAATTTCAAAGACACCAGGAAAGACCCCCAAAGCCTTGTCCACCCACCCACTGAAGCCTTCAGTTTGATTCAGTAGACAGCTACTTCCATTTAGCTTTAAGCCTTGTCCTCACTTAAAATGTAATGCTTCTCCTCGTTCCCATCCAAGGGTAATTCTTTATCACTATTAGTTATTTATTAACACTTTAGCATGAATAAGTTTCCATACTTTTCTACTGTAAGAATAGGTTTTTCCTGAGGGCAATGGGTGGAGTAAGGTGGGGCATAGGACCACAGGACACCTGCAGTGGCAGGCAGTAAAGGAGGCCCCCCACTGAAAAGGTAAGAGAGGTGAAGAGGAATAAGACCCATTTCACCATTTTGGTTTAGGTGAACAGTCCAGAAAGGTAAACCTGAACAGGCTCTTGTCAGGGCGAACCTCTGAAGTCTCCAGAGGACCACATGGAAGTAGTTGATCCTATCTGACTCAGTAAACATGAACTGTCTATGCTGAGGAGTGCATGGGGGTGCAACGATGGTTAGTGCACTCAGTTTTAACCAAAAAGTTGGCAGTTCAAGTCCACCCAGAAGCATCTCGGAAGAAAGGCTTGGAGATCTGTTTCTGAAAAATCAGCCATTGAAAACCCTATGGAACACAGTTCTACTCTGACACACATGGGTTGCCATGAGTTGGAGTCAACTCACTGGCAACTGGTTACTGGTCTATGCTGGGCTTGGTCTCTATCAGCACAGTTCACACATCACACAGGGCCTTGACCAGAAAGTCAGACAGCCTGGATCTACATTCCGACTCCACTGTTTCCTGGCTTTGTCCCTTCCAGCTCAGGGCTGGTTTCATGAGGATGAGGTCTGCACAACAGCACAGGATGCCTGCTCAGAAGGACACTGTGGCTTGGTTTAATGCTCTGCTGTCGCCATCTTGAAATTCTTACTAAATGTCTAACAAATGGCTCTGCTTTTTCATTTTTCATTGGGCCCTGCAATTTATGCAACTGGTACTTTCCACACTTTATTTAATCTCTGCCTCTCTGTATCCTCTTTCATGAAACTGAGATGATGCCTACCTGCTGAGACTGAGGGGACTGAATGAGATCATACATGTAAAGCCTCCACAGAGGTCCCTCCTATAGTAGCTGCTCTCCCCACTCTTATTTTCAAAGTGTCTCCACATTTAACATCTCACGTGATCTTCACAACAGCTGTGTCAGGTCCACCCAGCAACCCATGTCATGCCCATTTGACAAAGGTAGAAACTGAGACTCAGAGAACACTTGGAGAAACTGAGTGATTTAGCCTGGGCTACAGAGCAAATTAGAGCAGAAACTGGAGCTTGAGCCCTGTCACTGCCTCCTCATCAGGGCCTCTTCTACTGCCTCATCCACCCCTACCCCTGCTTGACCCAGTGACCTGGGTCATTGGGCCCACACCTGTGATTGGCCCAGGGTCAGGACACAGTAGGCAGCACTTTTCCTGCCTTGCTCTGTGGTGAATGGAGAGTGGAGAGAGAGCTGCAGGCTCAGCCAAGGAGGGGTCCACTCTACACAGCCCTAAGGTCCAAGGTAGCAGTCAGCCCCCTGAGAAAGCCTCACCTTTCGCAGCCTTGTTGGCTAGGATTAACCCCTTTTCTGCTTTCTTCTTCTTCTTCAGCTTTAGCCTAAACATCACCTTTCTGAAAAGAAGAAGAAAAACTAAATGACATGCAATAGTAACTTTGAGTCATTCAGTCACATTACCAGTTGCTGTCAAGCCAATTACGACGCATGGAGACCCCATGTGCTTCAGAGCAGAACTGCACTCCATAGGGAGAAGGTAAACACATACACACAGGGTTCTCCCGGAAGCAAACCAGCCTCCTCATCTGCCCAGGACTGGCAGCAAAAGACAAGTGTCAGGAGGATCCAATGAGTGCTCCAGAGAACTCTGCTTTTGCAGAAACCAGGAAAACCCAACCTGAGCAGAAACCGTGAGGTCCACCTGGAACCGCACTTAAATGAGGCATGGTGCAGATGTTAGTAACAACAGCTGGCGTTTCTCCTCACTAGCCCTGTGCCAGGCACTGTGCTAGGCACTTGAAGGAATGACATCATTTGATCATCACAGCAACCCTATAATCCTCATCTTACAGATGAGGAACTAAGGCCCAGAGAAGATAGGTAATGTTTCTGAGATCGCACAGCTCCCGAGCAGCAGAGTTATCACCAGAACCCAGATCTATCTGGTTTCAGAGCCCAGGCTCTAACCACTGAGAAGTCCTAAGCCTCCCAGTTCCCCTGAGCAGAGGGAATGCCCCCATTATAGCCGGACAAGCGGCCCTGGGACTTAATGAGGTCACATCACGAGCATACAGCTCAGTTAACACATGGTATGTACCCAAAATGTCAGCTACTATTACTATTATTGGCTACAAGCAGGAAGCCATTCTGAGCTTCCCAGGAAATGGCCCCGGTCCACTATGTCTAACAGACAACATGAGCATCGCCCGGCTCTCTGCCTGCCTCCTGAAAGAATCCCTTTCTGGAGCTGAGGGACAGAAGAGCTCATGGCTCTACATGGAAGGATGGATGGACTCTGTTCAGAGGCAAGTCCAAGCCTTGCCTCAGGTAGTCTCTTGCAGCCAACCCATTTGAGGGAGGAGGAACAAGGAAGTGAGTGTTTGGAGAAGACAGGAGGAGACAGCAGCAAAGGCTCATAGCTTATTCAGGTGAATATTATGCAGTCCTAGAGCAATGCATGAAAAGTAGCAGAACAATCAAAGGTTTCTATTTTGCTTACATATTTAAGACTTATGAGGTAGTGTAGTGGTTAAGTCACATTGTTGGATTCTAACCCCAGCACTATCCTTGTGATCTAGAAGAGGTCACTTAAAGTCTCTGCACTTCAGGGTCCTCATCTTATAATGAGGATGATAATACTAGGCACTTGCTGAGAAGATAAATTGAGATAACAGTGTAAACCACTTAGCATAGTACTTGGCACATAGTAATTGCTCAAAAAACATTAGTTGTTTATTATTCTAAGAGATAGGATTAGGACCACTGAGCGGAATCTACTAGGAGCAGATGTCCACTCTGTTTGTTTGCTTATTCTGTGTAAGCCCTGCCTTGATCCAGATGAAGAATTCAGGAGCCTCCACAGATGGTACTGTCTCAACAGTGGAATGGGCTGAGTTGGGAGGTGGTGAGTTCCTTGTTCCTGGACGTGTACCGGCAGAGGCCTGAGGACCACTGATAAAGGATGTTGTAGAGATGGCAAGTATCAGAGGGGGTGGGGGAGCTTTCCTGAGGAAACTCAGGGGTCCCTTGAGATGCTGAGATACAATAGGATAGAAAGAATGGGCTCTGGAACCACCCAGACATGGATAGGACTCCTAACTCCTTGGGCAAGTCACAGCCCCTCTCTGAGCTCAGTTTCCTCATGTGTATAATGGATATCATAATAAAGTACCTGCTTTACAGGATGGTTGTGCGAATCATATCAGGTAAGTGAAGCGTCTAGGACAGTGCCTGTTATATACAAAATGTTGAATAGGTAACAGGGATTTTCTCAGAGGTAGCGTTTTTCCCCTTTGATTTGCCATCATCCTCTCTGATAAGAACATCATTAAGTCTCCTGGGAAACTGGAGAACATACACAAGGGAGATTCCCCCTTTCCAAAACCACTAAAATAGAACTTCCAGCGATAGTTCTTGCTATCCTGTTTTCAAAGGGTGGTTACCAAGCAGAAGACCCAAGGGAGAAAAGGCCAGTGCCTTCCAACCCCTGAATTGGCGTGTGGTCCCAAGGCTCACTGCCATGGTCATTTCACAGAGGCAGAATCCTATGTTCTGGGAACTTGGCCAATGGGCTCTGTGGATGCCTCGCTGACTATTTGAAAAGGCTGAGTTACTTCTATCCACAAACAGAAAGTTGCTACTAATAATGATGGTATCTTCCAGAAGAAGGGGTAATACTCGTTTAGAAGCAGCCATCCTCACTGTGGTTGGCCTCAGCATTCCAGATTCTCCTATAGGGAATCCAGTGATGGAGGCATGCCCAGTGTTGCTGCCTTGGACAGAGGAAGAGAGATAGACCCCACCTCTTAGAGACAGGCACCCCTGTCCCTCTAAAACCAAGAGCCCTTGACCCTGGCTGTTCATTAGAATCACCTAAGGAAGCTTTAAAAATACTGATGTCTGGACCTCACCTTCAAAGATTCTGATTTAACTGATCAGCGGCAGAGCTGGTGTTGAGAAGCTCTTCTCCAAGCTCAGCTCAGACCCTCCTTCAGAGTAAAACAAAGAAATCTTCCAGTAATGGTCAAAGAACTTACAACAAGCTTAGCTCTGTTGGGTGGATTGATGTTTGTTTCACAAACACACAAAGTTGTTTGCCTGAAACCATGAGTCAGTCATCAAGGGCACTCCCAGCATGACTCTCAGCTTGAAAAGGCTCCTTAATGAGAACTAATTTCTCCCCTGCAGCCCCGTGCCCTCCAACAGTAAATGGGAGGCACTGCTCCCCAGCCCAGAACACTGGTGCCACTGGAACACTGGAATTTGGAGATCCAAGACCCAGCCCAGGGGGCCTGCTTGCATCCATTAGATGTAGAATTTGGAGCTGTATACTTAACTCAGATAAGCATGTTTCTTCGCTTGTGACACAGGCATTATCCCATTTCTTACCCAATTTTAGGGACCAAAACTCATTGCTGTTGTGTCAGTTCCAACTCACAGCGACCATATAGGGTATAGGGTTTCCAAGGAGTGGCTGATGGATTGGAACTGCTGACCTTTTGGTTAGCAGCCACCCTAAGGGAAGGGTATGTAAAAATAGGAAATAATGCTTGTAAAGTGTAAAGCATGCTATGATACATATTACATAGCATGTTGATAACAATGTTGATAACAAGGAAATGTGCTATAATATACTCCTGAGCGAGTTTAGTTTTTTTTACAATATATTGAGCACTTACTATGTGCCAGCAACACCACTTTACCCGCATTATCGCCTAATAACCCCACATCATATCCACAAAGTAGTTGCTATTATTACCCTCATCTGACAAATGAGAACTTGTCAGAGGTTTCCAGTCAGTAGATTGGAACTGACCAGTAAATCAGGAAGACTTACCTGGTAACTCTCCAAGGCTTACACCCCCTTCTCCAGTTTGCTGACAATTCCAGCTCGGGTGCCCTCCCACTTCACACAAAGGATGGAGATCTCTGGTTTAGGATCTACTGAATCTCCTCCGGGGACACCCCAGAATTAGTTGAGACACATAGAAACCCCCATACCAACCTGGTCTCTTCAGGGTGAAAGCTACCATGAGTCCGATATCTGTATTCAAACAATAAGAACATTAAGTATTGCACGTGTTAGGCTCACTTCGGCACATCTGTTTAAGGTGGCATTGCTCCATGTTGAAGCACAGGAGCTGAACTGCCAGTGAGGCAGCCAGCCTGGCACAGAGAAAGAGGAGCTGGGCAACTGGAGTTTGGTTCTCATTTATACCACTTCCTAAGTATGTCACTGGGGTTGGGGCCAGGTGACTGCTCTGAGCTTCAGGTCTTATTTTGAGGGAAGTGGCAATAAGGTTAACTCAGCTTTCTTCACTGGAGTATTATATGTACAGCTTTATCATTCTAAACTCTTGTGAACGCGACAAGTAGCTAATTTAATGTCATGTTCATGGCTCACAGCCAGAGTCACCATGTGGTTTCCCACTTGTGTCTCCAGATTTCCTTTCTGGAATCACTTTTTCTATGTTCAGTGCAGAAGACAAGCAGCTCAGGCCAAGTAGCCAAACAGTAAGCTAATTGTGCCAATGATGTGATGAGTACTGGCCTCTGCTGCTCATCCCCACCTGAGGGGACACAGCGCGCAGCTTACCTTCCAAACCCAAGCCATAACACCCAATATAGGGGGGAAAAACTTTGTCTGATGAGTGAATTTGTTTATTTGTATGAAAATTCCTACAAACTATTAAGAATTAAATTATGCTTAATTATATCTTGATAAAATTTCTTTATCAAAAGAATTAATATGCATGTAATCAGGTCTCTCCAAAAACAAACAAACTGCTGGATCTGTTGGCTGTCCAGATGACTGTCAAAAAAACTTTTTAAATTATATTTTGACCCCTACTTCATACCATATGCAAAAGTCAATACCAGATGGATTTATATTAAATTTTAAAGGTAAAATAATACAACTTTTAGAAGAAAACATAAAAGATGTATTCATAACCTTGGATTAGGTAAAACGATCTTAAATAGCACAAAAAAATGCATTAACAATAATGGAAAAGATTGATATATTGAACGTGTTCACCAGAAGATATTAAGAGAATGAAAATGTAAGGTATTTTGTGAGGGAAAATGCTTAAAATACATACATCTGATTAAGGATTCATATTCATAATATATTAAAAATTCCTATATATAGACAACCTAATAGGCAAGAAACTTGAACAAATAATTCACAAATGAGGATATCCAAATAGCCACAAAACATAACGAAAATGTATTCCACCTCACTATTCATCGAGGAAAGGCATAAAGAAAAACCATTACCACCACCAAAAAAAAAATCAAACCAAACCCATTGCTGTCGATTTGATTCTGACTCATAGTGACCTCATAGGACAAAGTAGAACTGCCCCATAGGGTTTCCAAGGAGTGGCTG